CTTTTATTGTCTTATTTTGGTCCTTTGAAGTACAATTTCTAACATTCTGATCCTGTACAGGACCATTTTTCCTCAGAAAAACCTTTTCTTTTCCCCTGTTCTTTTTCTATATAAACATCAAAGGTGCCAAATTGTTATTCCAGTTGTCAAACTGAGGCATGTGAAGTTGACAAATATTTGTGGACTGGTCTCAATAGTAACTTTTAGCTGGAACTGAGTTTGCGGGACAGCAAAGTTTGGTTTCTATAATAAAAAAGTGCTGAATAGCATGGCTGTAAATTGTGCCCTCTGACTGTATGCGGCCAGTTATGGGGAGCAGACAGTGTCCGTGTCTGGCATTTGTGCTTACCGACTGCTCTGGGAATGTCGCATGCATGGCTACTGACGATGTCACCTCGGTTGATCAAGAATCCAATGGGTACTACCCAGCCAGCACTCCTCATGTAGCCAGTGTGACATGACTTCTTTCCCTGATTAAACACAAAATATATAATGGTTATCAACCAGATTCCTTTAAAGCCACAAACAATTGTAGTTTTCGTAGTCTGTAGTTTTGTAGTCTATCATGTATTTCCCCCCATGTTTATGCCTTCTTTTGTAATTGTACGGATAAATGAATTCATATTGTATTTAATATAATAAAAATATTTGAGGTAATTTATAGTAATGTTGCAATAATACAATTGTATTGATGTATGTTTTTTATTTAATTTGTATTTTGTAAATTCAAATGTAATTTGGCCTTTGGGCTGCGAAGTATGAATGTTTTTTAATAAACAACAACTTATTCAAGGGTGCCTATGAACAGACCTGAAGTTTCACCTCAGTGAATGCTGTAAAAAAAAACAATATTTTGTTGTTTCTTCAAATGGCAGCTTACCCAAGAGATCAATTCCACAGTGACCTTTATAGTCCCAAACCATCTTTAACCAAGTAATCTTTTCAACAGTAATTTCACAAGTTAATTTTTGGATAACTACAAATGATAGACTGTACCTTTAAAGGAACGACGTAATTTGCTCATAATAAACATATAATAATCAACTCCCCAGAAGTAAAAAACTTATGGTCTTTAGTAAGTTGTATTGATAACAGAAGCCTTGTACATGTAATTACCATACCTCCATTGAAGGATCCCTGTGAATATGTTGCAGAATATTTGCCAGTCCTTGACCGGCTCTATCCAACAGTTCTATGCATGATCTAGAAGTCAAATAACAGTGTTTTGGGCACATTTGTTTGAGGGGGAGAGGTGTCTTGTGTTGGGCATTTGTACCTCCAGATCATTAATAGTGAAGCTGGAGGATCGCTTCACCACAGCAACGCCCCAGTATCTGGCAGTGGGATCACCCGTGCCGTAGTCTTCGGCCAAGATGGGTGCCACACGACCCTCTCGTCCATGTTCATACAGCTCTCCCCCATCCAGAGACACCAAATCTGCTTCGTCACCTGCTCACAAAAAGGGGGGAGGGGGGCAGATGATAACATTGTCACTTGCTGTGTGACTTTACACAAGTGCTTAGCGTAAAAAATAGGAGAATCTCAGGCTGGCCAACGTAATGCATGAACCGGACACACATATGCGTAACAGGGAAACACCATACTGCATGCTGTGGACTCATCAGTCCCCATTTAGAATCGATGTTTGTTTGAATGATAATTGGACGTCAGAAAAAAATTGCGTAGGAAATCCTAAGATATACTAGAGTCTGAAAAATGCATTTGGTATGCAGGGGAAGTAAAAGAAAACTACTGACACGTTGATGGGGAATTGAACCCATATGTTACAGACATTTACGAATATGTCTGTGAAATTTCAATTTAATCTGTCCAAGGGTTTCGTTGTTAGGGTCATTAACAGGTCAAAGCCTCATACATATCAGCCCACATGCGTTGAACTCGTCAAAAGGAAAAGTTAACCATTTTGACTTGACCCGATTCAGAAAATTGGACATGTCAAGAGAATGTAATATCACATTTTCATGCAATTGGAGTCAAAAGATTGTAAGACATGGCACAGAAGAAAAAAAATAACAGCAAAAATATTAGAGTCAGCAAAATTCCAAACTCTTTTTATAGAACTATCAAAACTTCATGGCATGGCCCAGGTAAAGCAACAAAGACAACGAAAGTTTAGAAATCAAACCTGCAATATCCACAGCACAGGCATCTGCTGAGTAGGACTCATAGCAAGAAATATTGGGCGTGATACCAGCACCACTGAAGGCTGCTTTCATGGCGCGACACTTGCTCTTCTCCTGTGCAGATATGGCGCACCAACGCAGGGTGCCGTTGGGGCACTTACCAAGACCTGCAGATTGAGGATTTATAACTTGACTTTGACTGACCGATTATCACTGATTACGATGCTGAAACTGATTGACACTGATCTCAAGGTGGAGATTGAGCGACTGAGTGATTCACTGATTTGCAAACTGATTAAAGAGGATTTTCCAATTTTTGAACTCTGATCTGATTCAGGTTTCAGATTTCCTTCCTTTGAATCAAATCCTGGAGTGGAGTTCTGCTCTTTTCTATCCTACAAGAAAATCAGTTTGTTCAAAATGGTGAGCTTAAGATAAAACAAAGCCAATGGATATCCAACCTAAAATGGGAGTTACCTACAGATGCATTTTTTTTGCAACAAAAACCCCTTTGCAGTAGTTCAGTGCAGAAAGTCTTGTGAAACCCTAGCTGTATCCATTCAATACTGAGGTTTGAGCCCGCTTGCTAGTCAATCTCTGAACACCAGACTAAGTTGAAAGGGTACTTTCTTGGAGAAACACAAAATAGAAAAAAACGTCGTGTAGTTTTACGAGGCTTCAAAGAAAACTACAGGTTTTTGGAAACTTGTTAAAAAACCTGCTAGCCAGTTATACTTCAACCTGATAAAAGTGAACCAACAGAAAACTTGTCCATCACACCTTTCAGAGTCGCCAGGTAGTCTGCTCCTAGGAATGCATCGTATTCCTGAGTTACATCTTCCAACATCTGGGTAGAATCCTTGAAGAGCAGGTTGGAAGCCCCGTAGAGACTGGAGTCAAACATGGAGAAGCCATTGGGATTGGTATCTGACCCAAAAAGCTCCTATGGGAGGAAGTAGAGATCAAAAGATCAAAGACAATAGCGTGAGTGTCGGGATAAGTGCACTGTTAAGAGGGATGGCATCAGGAGAGGTTAGTTACACGTAAACGTTCATGGCAAGGATATTGGCAAGATTTTTTTTGGGGGGGGCATGGGAAAAAACACTTTTTTGAGGAATGCAAAATGCAATTTTTCGGGGACGGAGAAAGGCACTTATCAACAATGAACCAATATACCAAAGGGATCAGTTTGAGGAGTTTTGAGCAACGTAGTGATATTCATCTCCTTTTCTCTATTTTCCCCTTCTTTTATGCTTGGTTTCTGTTCCTTTTTTATTTTATCAAAACTTTCTTGGGGGGGGGAACAAAGTCTCCTTGAAACAATTTATATTGTCAAGTCTTTCTGTACCTGAGCTCTCCCAAGGACGGTGCGGAAATCTTCCAGAACAGCCGAGTCGAAATTCTTGGAGGCCATAACAGCGTGAGATGGTACCTGCATGCATGGGATATTGGTCTTAGTTGTACTTGTGGGAAGCGGATCGGTAGCAGCAATGTGGTTAACAGGATGTCCAGTGACACGTTAGCCAGGGTTGAGATCGAAGGACAATAAAACATCCATGAAATAATCACCCGAGATTTAGAGAGACCCCACAGAAGTGTAAAATCTATATTTGTTTTGGCTAGAGGTACCCATTTCTTGTGGTCTAGAGCAACTTCTATAGGCCTTTTTTAAAAACACCCCAAAATGGGAAATTCAGGATTGTCACAATTCTAAAAGTATCGATTGTTGGATTTATCCTGAAAGCTGAAAAATTGTAATGAAAAACTCCTGAAATCAGGGAAAATCTGAAAAATCTCACCCAAGTTTAGCCCACGACTACCTATCCGACAGTTTCCAACCAAGTAGGACGTTTAAACATGAAGGCTGGAAGTCGGAGGCCTCAATCTTTAACAACTTACAAAAGCTAGATTGCAGCTTTCATGCTGTCCAACATCCGCTCTCGTGTTGTCTTTGCAGAGGAGCTGGAAATCTTGAGAACGCAAGCTGATAGCCCAATCTGCTTGGTTGTTCCCATCTGTGTTCTCTGTGATGGTCACAGGCTTGATGAATGCAACGTCCCCGCCCCCATCTGCCATGCACCTTTAGACAGAGAGGGACAAGACAGAGAGAGACCTCATTTACAAGTCAGTCATATTGCATCGAAAACAAGTTTAACCTTTACTTTGAAAACCTGAGAATAAAAAGAAACAAATAATAATTTATTAATTAAACAATAAAGCAACGAAATGAAGTTCAGTACAGATCTGCTTCATTTACGATGAAGAACAATGTAAAATTTGTCATCTATTATAACTACATGTTCAAGCAACTTTCCTCACCACACGCTGCACCTGTTGAGATGAAGGGTTGCAGGTAGGTCTTACCTGAACGCCCCACCATAATTGTAGAAGGGTTCGTTGGAGTTGCGGGGACACTTGATGGGCGTTGTGGTTTGGCACAAGGCACACAGACTCTCTGGGTTGTTCCCGTCAGGGTTATATTCAGAGGACAAAGCACCTGGCGACAAGAAGGCACAAACCTATCATTTCACACCCTAGTAAATCAAAGCTCAGCCCTTGAAGAAATTTTATGTCTGGAACAGAAATTTGATACTGTTTTTTAAAACCTTCCATCAACGTTCATTCCCAGATAGACCTCCTTGACAAACAAAGTTACACACATTCGCTATTCAGTAAATATTACATCTGTAACTGTCTAGAACCCACACCGGAGCATATTTTTTCCACGTGTCAGCAAACGCACCATACAAAACCAAATTCGATAACTTCCAGGAAGTTCGGAGACTCCGTGGCTCCCGTACTTTTTTTTATAGAATTCTAAACACACAAATTTGTCATAACTTTGTCATAAATCATAACTGTTAATTTTTTCCTTATATCAGTGGGATCTTGTTTGATTTCTTTGTTGCATCGGAGAAAATTCAAGCTTTGGAATAATTAGTTTTCTAAAATAGTTTGGAGTTTTTCGGATCGTAATACTATTCAGCAAGCCCCTGAACCTGCTGACCTCAATAACATGTTGACAACACCTTCGGCTCACATCACATCCCAAACCCAATCGACAATGCTCTGATCTTGATCTGGGAGCAATAGTCTAAGCATATCTTTTCATCAAAATCAGCAGTAGCTCAGGCTTCCAGTCGGAAGCATGCGTGTGATTACTGAAACGCTGGGTGTTGGCTTAGGGTCCCAGACCACATTTTCAACAACTAGTCAACAAGTAATCAACAACTACTACAAAGTATGGCTTTATTTAAAAAGATGTTAAACATGTACAATGCGGAACTCATACTCCGTTTGTCAAATTTGCCTGCATCAATGTTACATATGTCTTTTGTGGGCAATGATTTGGCTTATCTTGTCTTGGTTTGGAAATCCAATCTCATCTCATTCTCCAGGCCGTGATCTCAGACAGAGACAAAAAAATACTGCCACCAACATGACCAAGCCATCACATACTGCATTTATGTTATTCAAAATTTTCTGGGACATGTTTAAGCAATACAAAGACATACATACAGGTTTAAAAGAGGCAGATATTTGGCTTGAATTGTAGAGTAAGACCAAAATGAAAACATTCTCTTGAGATTTTTGAAACTTTTGAAAACTGGGCCTCTCTAAGTTTTTGCCAGAGTGCCTCTTTTAATAATGCAACACAAAAGCCCACCCTAAAAAGAAACAGAGAGGAATACCTGGGGCACAACTTTCACTGAAAAAGGCACCGGTAGAGCGAATGTCATCTTGGCAATCCGTTGGGATCATGTAACCTGCCTCCAGAAGGTAACCAACGGGAACGTTCCAGCCGGCCGTCTTCCTAACCCCGGTATGGCAGGACTTCTTCCCTTGGAGGTCTCTCAAGCCAAACCCTGTGTTGCTTCTCTTCACCACAGCAATGGCATAGTAGCCAGTGTTGTCTGCTCACAGGAAAATGAAATGACAGAGCAAGAGAGAAAACCCATCAGTCTAAAAACTGGTTGACCAGCATTGCTCATCTGTGCAGATGCAAAAACTGATATCGGTCAAATAGCAAACTTGCTTACAGTCTCAAAGGCCGGTGTTGCTCTTCACATGCGTCTTTGTTTTGTATGACCGCTTAATGTAATTCCAGATATCAAACTTAGCAGACATTGGTAAGCTCATAACGCATTTTGTTTTGCTGAGAAGTGCATGTTTTTCGGAAGGAAGCCGTAGAGCAACTCGTGCATGGTCCATAACAGAAAGCTCAGGCGTAGGCGAGTTCCGTTGTTCACTCTGACTTACTGCCTGCGTAGACTTCTTGCATGATGGGTATCATGTTGAACTCTTTTCCTGCAACATAGACGTCCCCGCCATCCAGGGTGATCAAGTCAGCCTGGTTGGTGCTGATAAGCCGCATGCAGTGCTACATTAAGGGAAAAAAAGCAGGAAAATGTATACATTTACCTACATCAAATGTTCTACTCAGATATGTTTCAGTCAGACGAGGAAATGGGTATCTTTCAGCCCCTTTTTGGATACCATGTTTTGTCTTGCAAATACATGTAGATGTCAGTGCTAATTCAGACCTAAACTAACATAGGCCTATGTATACACATGCAATGGTTTCTCCTTAAAAGGTTTATTTAGAAACTTGATTCAACTCTTAATTGGCTTGACCAATGCTGGCCTCTTATTAGCAGTCCAGCATCTAATATCTAATAGGGCAGATATTCAATCTGAAAACATATATACAGCGTACTTGTACGTGCATGTGAGAGTAGGTTACATACACTGTATTTGGCTATTGGGGGAAAATGGTTGTGTTATTGATTATTTACAGTATTGAAATATTTAACCAGGGTAGCATCACCAGTTATCAAGGAACTATTTGATGGTTCTGGTCATGAGGAATGCAAGCTTATCTTGAGGGTACAAAGGAACCAGTGGGATGGATGTTGGCCAATCTTTGTTTGTTTACCATGGCGCTTTCCCCGACAACACAGTTCAGAGTCTTCAGGTTATTATTGGCAAAGGCTTGCTTCATAGCCAGACATTTTTCCTCCTCGTGGCTGGAGGTGGTGCACCAACGCATTTTGGCCACTGCAAAGAGAAGACGACAGCAGGTCAAAATCTGGATAGTGTTTTCAGTCTTTTTACCTGATTCCGTGGTTTTAGCCTCGGAACATTATTCTTAAAGGATCCATGAAATGAATTTTTTTAGAATCACTTTTTGTGTATTTCTGTTTTCTTCTTAAACGTATGAAGACAGTTTGACCTTTGTTTTGAAAAACACACACCTGTTTACAACGCCCGAGAAAAAGTACAATGAGAGCGCTGAAAGTTGTTTTGCAGACCAGAGTTTCATTGTCATGTTGTAAAACCCCCAAATCCCTCAAGGACAAATGTGGCGCTTGGCACCCATTCAAACTTAGTCCAGTTCTCCAGGGATACGGGGCAAAGGGTAGATGGGTGGGCCAATACAGAGAGATCGACAGATCAAAGGTGTCGGACGGGGAAAGAGAAAAACTGCATTTACATGTATACCCTGTATCTCAAGTGCTTATCCTTGGAATCGCATACAACCTCGTACAAAATGTTTTAAGTCTGAGCTGATGCCACAGCCAAGGAAAGGGTTTATTGCATACCGGACACCGATTGTAATGGCATTCCGGAAAACATGTCATAGAACAATGCAAGCTCAAGTGACAAATTTTATCACAATAATCGTGGGTACACAGACCCGAACCATGGGCACACCAGACCCAAACCTTACGTGGGCTCACCAGACCCAAACACGGGCACCATGCCCGAAGAAAAATTGCTAGAGAAACGTGGTACCTTATTCTATATATCTTCCCACTTATGTTGAACCGGTCGGGAAGTGACGTACACCACCCTGGGAAGAGGGAGTGGCCTCTCCTGGCGAGTCCATCGGAGCTAATTAACATATAGTTATTTTAATTTAAGTCGAAATTCCACGACTACTTATCATATCCTACCCCTGAACATGCTGAAAAACCTGGTTTAGTCATCTTACAGCCAGGGCCTCCCCTAGCGAGAATAAATGCAAAAAACCCAGAGGGCCTTGAGCCAGCCTCCAGGCAATTCCCATAGGACTGTGTGCTAATTGGTCCCTTGTGCACAACCTAATGGGCTGTTTACAAAACCGTGCCTGGGGCAGGCAGTGGAATGTTCTGTATCAGTGACAGCTGTCTGGAACTTGTCAGAGGCCTCTGTCGGCTGTGTGTTATTTTTGTTGGGGGGGTTGTGGTGGTGGTATGGCCTGGCTGGCGCGTGGCGAGGGCCCCCCTTCAAATCCGGATAGCCGGGGAAAACGGCCCCCCACGGTACTGTGATGTACCTTTGATGGGTTTTGGTGGTTTGTAAGATCTGTAGAGGCTATTGGACAACCTCTGAAGCATTAATATACCTTCAGGACGGACTCAGGGCTGTGCACACAAGAAAAAATGCAAAGGACTCAACGGAATAGTCCGTACCCGTAGCCGTGTGAGTTTAAATTGGGAACGCGTCCCAGGGTCAACCTAATCAGCAATCTTGAAATAATTAATAACACGTTGAAGGGAATTATAATGTATCGGTTCCCCAATGATACATCGATATTGCACACCCAGTCAGAAAACCTCTGACCCCAATGATCAAAAAGGATATTAAATGCATTTGAAAACCTTATAAATGATTTCAAGTACTCTCACTGACCGATGTTGCACATTCAGTCAGTTTATTGTATACACAATGAAAACTTCATGTAATAATATCAGTAATACCGTTATAAGCGTAAAGAGATTGGTTGCTGACTGTCTGCGCCCGCCAAAATGCCGCATGTAAAGCCTGGTTTCCAGTATGGTCGTTTGTAACAGCAGACAGTCTGCGAGCCGTCAAGACGCAGACAGTTGCAGAAGAGACACGTCGTGACGTCATCAACCCCAAAAATTTAAACAAATGGTGTCCAACACTCGGAAAATTTTCGCTAAAAATGCATTTTTAGGTGACATTGATTCCTCTTGAAGCCAAACTGATACTCTAGTTTGATGTAATTTGTTAATGGTCAGCTATTTTGTTGACGATTGGGGCTGCATATGCTAGTAATAAAGGAGAAAATGGACAAAATGAGTGGTACTAAGTGACAGAGACATTGTATGCCCGTCATGCCAGTGTACGTGTTTGTATAGGCCTACTCGGCGACTCAACACAGAGAGTCGGCAAAGTTGAACCGGACTCAACTTTGCCGATCTGTCTGGGGCTGGTTTGCGTTTGTGGCGACACTACCGTTTGATATGTTTCCATTTGTCTGTGTTGCAGTTTGCGTTTGATTGCGTTGCTCACTTTGTTTCTTACGTCGATATGGAAACCAGGCTTAATGCACGCGGATGGGTGTGTGCCTTGTGGTTCGAACTATGGTCCACATTTACTCCTTGATTCTGTCATGGACGAAAAAAAAGGTTGAAATTTGTTCTCAGGATTTACACTCGCAAATATAGTAGACTGAGCACAGCAAGAGTCCGCATTACAGAGGCAGACATTATACTGAACATAGTACAAACCCAGTAGGATCAAAACACTACCCTGGGCAACCCTCCGTCTTGACCCTGTGTGTTTGCGTCAATTTAAGCTGGTACGTGCTTGTCTTTCAATTCCTTCAAGTTTCGGTTGGGCTGTGCTGGGTTGCGCAAGCCTTTTATGAGGTCATGCAAACAAACTTTCCAAAGGGAAAGCCCCTTCATTCCACCATGGCCATTGTTTATCCAGTCTGGATAGACCTAGAAGATATTAAGACCCTGGAATTCGGTGTCTCAGGAACCCTGCTTCACCCAAAAAGGCTATCAAGGCTTTAACAGGGCAGATTTCCAAGGTTAAAGCTTAGTTTTGATATCTGATTTTTTTTTATTTGCTGGAGCGGGCGCAATAGAGTACCGAACTGTGATGTCACTTTGACCAGAAAATGCAGTGCAAACGAATGGAGTACGCGCGCGTGTTGGTTCACACGCTGGTTCTCGCGCTAATGCCTTTTACACACTAATTGTGCGCGTGACGTATCCACTTCAGTACTCTGTATAAATGCTTTTCTTCTTATTGTTATTATGCCAAAAATGGATCTATAAAGCCATCTTTACTACTGCTCAGGTACCAGTATAGGTACATGTATACATACATATATATGTATATTCATGCAGTTTGACAAGTACTTTAATAATGACTTTCGTCTGTGCGAGGTTAACAGATGTGGCAAAAGAACGTGCAAACATGTGATATACCGTACATGTATCGTGAAAAATAACTTGAAAAATAAACTGTCTGGGTCAAATGACTACCTCTGGTTGATCTGAACTGAGCAAATGGTAGAAGACATTATAAACCACATTTTCAAATTGTCGATTCTTATGGCCTCCTCTTATGGATTATGGATTAACTTATGGATTGTTGTTCAATGGCCATAAAAAGATCAACACGTTACCTTAATTTAATTAAACCTTTATACTATTGAATCCTATCCACGATTCATTGTTCACCAGATACGGATTCTTCCGTTTCAAAGCGTGATTACGACTTTATAAGTTCAGAACATATTCATGTCAAAGCGTGATTAAGTCAATTTCAACGATATATCAAATTACAGATGTCAGGTATAACAGGGACACACACAAAAATACCCCATCCCTAAATTTATAGAGATGGCTTCCAAAACAGCTGGTATCTTGTCAAAAGATGAGTTTCCTAATCATAAAATCAAATCTGTGACATTATAGCCTCCTAGGCCTAATCCTACAGTTACCTTGGCTCGTAGCATGGTGAAGGCAGAGTACCAGCAAGACTGTAGTCAGGAAGATTGCCGCTTGAGCCATCCTGGTTGTGGTAATTTCCTGTCACAACGCTCAACTCGTGACGAGAGAGAACTAGCCGCTCTGGCCCCAGAAACCGATCCCCAGAAACTTCAGGCAAGACTTTGCTGACAAAGGAAAGTTGGAACAATGACTTACGGTATATGCTGTTTGTTTTCCAAATGTGGATGTGACATACATGTTCCGGTTAAGTAACATCTGAGGTTAACTTGTAGCAAGTGCTGACTCATTATGATAACAGAAATGACAAAAGATACAGTACATTAAATATGTAAGTACCGCATCATACCATAGAGAACGAGCACAGGTCATACCATTTAACAAAAGATTAAGACATACAAACTAAAACATCTATCTTTGTGTATATTGTTGTTCATCTTTCGGGAGTCGAAGATGACCATGACTATTTTGTGGGGCAATGGCGGTGTATCCGGAAGTGGCTGATGAGGCCAATCTGGGCGTGGAATCTTCTCTCACAGGTAAGACAAACGTTGCAAGGAATAGTGTTCATTGTGCTGGTTTCTCGGGCCTTTCGCATCTCACTTTCTTCTCTGCAATTTTGGATTTTGGAGTCGACGTTCCTCAACTGCAAGTTCGCCCTGGGTGATGAGGCCGCGCCAGGCAGGGTGGTTGGCAGCAAAGGGTTTCCCAGGATACAGTGCTGATGTTAAAGTCTTTGAGGGAGACTTGCAGATCCTTCAAGCGCTTCTTCTGCCCACCAACTGAGCGCTTGCCTGAGGACAGCGGGTGCCTGGCATGCGGGTGACGCGGCCAGCCCAGTGGATTTGTGCCCTGCAGATGGTAGCGATAACTCTGGAGAGTCCAGCCTGTTTAAAGACCTCCGTGTTGGAAATCTTGTCCTACCAGCGGGTGTAAATAAGCTTGCAGAGGCAGCGAAGGTGGAAGTGCTGCAATTATCGTTCATGCTGTCTGTAGAGGATCCATGTTTTGTAGCCGTAGAGGAGTTCATGGTACTGCTTGTCAGGGGCAGGCTGAAACAACACTTCTGTCTTCTTTGTGCTAATTGTATGACCAAAATTGTCGCAGGCAGATGAGAAGCTGTCTAACTCCAGTTGCATTTCGTGCACACTTGAGGCGTTGAGGGCAAATAGGAGGTCTCTAATTACCGTCTCCTTTACCTTCGAGACGGCCTGCATTCGCTTATGGTTGAAAAGCTTGGCATTAAACCTGTACTTGATGTGGATGCCAGGGTTGCTGTCCTTGAAGGCGTCCATCAGAATTACCAAGAACACCATGCTGAACAGCGTAGGGGCAAGAACACAGCCCTGCCTGACTCTCATTTGTAACATGGAAAGCATTGGATGCCTCATCGTTGTCCAGCACAAAGGCTATCATGCCGTCGTGAAATTGGTGAACAATTTGCGATGAACTTGTGAGGGCATCCAAACTTCCCCATGATTTTCCAGAGTTCCTCTCTGCTGACATATACTTGATGGCTTCAGTAACCTCTCCCACTGAGGGGGGGGGTTGTCAAGGACAGAATTTATTGGCACCTGGGGGAGGTGTGCGACGGCTTCATCGTTTATGGACCCCAGCTGATTCAGCACGTTGTCGAAGTGTTCTGCCCAGCTCTCGATGATCTGATTTTTGTCAATGAGTTTTCCCGTCTGCACTGAGCAGGGGTGATGAGCCGGGGTGTCCCTTAGATTGACTTTAGGGCGTGGTAGAACCTCTTGGTGTTGAGTGCGTCAGGAAAGCCTTGGATCTCATCGGTCTTGCTACTGAGCCAGGCATCCTGTATTGAGCGCAGCTCCGTTTGGATCGCTTTGCGCTTGCTGGAGAGGGTTACCTTTTTGATGTTGAAGTAGGGTCACTCTGGCGGGCTCGGAGTAGCTGGCGTTTTCCTTCCAGCAGTGTCTGGATTTTGGCATCATTTTCGTCGAATCTGAAAGGCGACTGAGTGGACCGACATTTTGAAGGATTCCCACTCTTTTGCTTTGTCAGGTCTGGGCTGGTGGTTCCCCAGTTCGCTCCCTGGCGAGCATACTAGTTTGCTGCCATATTAGGCCCGGCACTAACTGCTAAAAATAACCTTGTCTGCCGTCACAGGTACCCATTTACTCCTGGATGAAGCCTTAGAGGTATAAAGGGTCAAAGTGACTTGCCCAAGATCACAACATGCTGCCACCAGACTGACTGACCTTATCATCAGAAACTCACAAACCGGGCCACAAGGCTCCCATGTAGGGCCTATAGCATGTGTGAGAATTTTCCTTATTCACAGGTACATAACTGCGAGTTTTGGGCCTTAAAAATGAGCCATTTCAATACTGCTCACTCTGAATTCACCCAATTCAACAGAAACACGCTTTGAAAGGAAGAATACTCACAATCTTTTCACTCGCGCCAGTTCTTGGCACTTTGAAGGTTCCATGTACATGTAATGCATGTTCTTCATAAAACCATTGAAAATGATATTTCTGTACACCAATGGCATTGCTGAAAATACGTGTAGTTTTTGATTTCTAGTCTAAAGGGTATTTTGGTGTCATTTTGCTTTTTGGGCTGATGAGTAAGTCCATAATCATGAGCAACGCTGTGATGATATCCAGGGAAGTAAACCTCCATGCTACACTGATTTGTGCACAAAAAGTTGTCTGGTTCAGGATTTTCTAACCTAAATCTCTTTTCTTTGTTGATTATCATGTATGAACATGATATATAAAAAAAAAACCTATGAGTAACCCCTTGCTAACACCTGTTGGCAATGAGCACATTGTCAGAAAACTTTAAGATCAACAGTGCTTTGAACTGTCTTCCCTGAATGACATCACAGCAACAGCGCCCTCAGTTGTCTAGAAAAGCATCGGCAGATTTAAATGTGTGAAAAGTGCACTTTTCGAAAAACCTTTAAGCACAAAAGGGATGTGGGGTGTGAAATAGTTTTCGTACAGCGAAGATGAGTTTACAGGTGCAGAGAGAGAATACAAAAAAAATTGTTATAAGGACTCTTGAGTTCAAAGAGGCTTGTGATCCAAACGTGTTGGCCAATACAGTTACTTCGCCTCGTTGCAGTACGTCTGTACAGACGTACTGCAACGAGGCGAAGTAACTGTATTGGCCAACAGCTGTGGTATTCACGGGTTAGTTCACTTTGAAATATGCACGTACGGCAACAAACTTTAAATTGCAAGAAACTTTTTTATTTTGTACAATATCACCTTGCACGGTGCCTGCTAAATTGGCAGCTTATGTGGCGTCTGTTAGGGCTATGATTCTCCCAAAATGTTTGAGTTTGAACAGTTGTGGTCTTTACCAGGCATACATGTACGTATATACACCAGCAAAAACCAGGAAGGGAAAGTATCCAATCTACTGAGGCCTAATTGTGCCAGTTTTTCCAAGTCTCAAGGGGAAATAAATTTCCCACCAGGCAACTTTTGGCAGGATGTGTGAAATACTGGTAATTTGAGCCACGAAAAAAATGTATTTCCTGTTCCATGACCAATGAAGTGGTTTCCTTCCTTCCATGCCCAATCTAACATGTTTTCACTGCCCGACCTTAAAGATTATTTTGAGAAATGTTTGAATGTGGTGAGAAAAGGTTGAATAAGTTTATTATTGCAGGCAACCAGTAGACCTACTCCTTCAAGTATTGTTACTTTCACTCAAATAAAACAGATGCCATTTAACGGTTGGGTACTGAAATTTACATTGATTCATCACTCTTGAAAATTAGAGAATGTGTGCCGAACTTACAAAATCATGTCGGATGTGACACGGACACACAAACTTGGATCCGTAATTTATAGCATGACCCACTATTGTACGTCTGTATACGTAGCCTGTTTCCAAGTTCCAGATGACATAAACAGCACAGACCCATGGTACCGATAACAGGAAGTTGAACAGATTTTTGGTCTGATTTGCAACTCCCTTTTAAAGATGCATCTAAATCTTTAAAGGAACCAGGAAATAGAAATATTTTTATAAATGTTACTAAAAACCCTTGAAATTTGCATCTTTATGGATTTCAATTAACCTGCTTTTAAATTTTTGTATGCAATTTAAACCCATATTTTGCTGCTATTTATTCTAATGCTATTTGCATATTCATGAGCAGAACTATGATGTCATCCAAGCCACTGAATCTCAATGTTGCACTTATTTGTGCACAGAAAATTTCTAGATTTTTTTACTACTGCTATGGCAGATTTCATTTTCTTTGGCAATTTATTGCTGTGTAAGTATATGGGAATAATCCAGCAAAAATTCTTTTCACAGCAATGTTCCCAGATAGCAAATTTGGGATTCACCATTTGAACATGAAAACATGCAACGTAAACCTTGCCGACCTGGATTTACATCAAAGTAAAAGCACCCTCACTTGTCCAGAAATGCTTGGCCAATTTTTAATGTTTGAAAAAGTGCACCGTTCAGTTTACATAACTCAAAAAAGATGTGAAACAGTCTTCATACATTGAAGAAGAGTACAAAGATACACAAGAAGTAATTCTTAGAAAAATTCATTTCCTGGTTCCTTTAACAGGTGTCAATGAATCATTCATTTTGCATTCTAACATAATGACCTCATAGCACCAACTTGACTAAGGGATATCAAATTTAAAATGTCGTGTTTATCTTCTGGGAAAAACATTAATGAACAGAGTTCCATGGGCTGTACAGCAAGTGCACAAACCCCATGAGAATGAAATGAAAATTTGTTAGTAGTTTTTCAAAGCAAATGGTTTGATATTTTCCCTGCTGAATTGGACTCTTCAGGACACGTTATCCCTGATATTACGTTACGTCCCTATTGCAGTATCATCATATTCCTGTATTGAGCAGAATACGACAGTTCAAGTATACTAGCACATGCCGGTAGGCCTACATGTACCCCAAGAACTGTGGGAGGGAAAGAGTTCCATATGCGGATGCCACTTTAACCGTCCACCTTGCATAAACCCTTTGAGACTGGACTGAGGAAAAACCCCAAAATGCAATTTTCTGTTTTGTGCAAAATGGCCATATTCTAGGCAATACTGTCACGCTGATTTGCCCAAGATTTTCTCATCACACATGAAAAGACCAATGTTTGCCCTAATCACGACCAAAAGGAAAATATGATGAGACCCCTGGCAAGTTGACTTTTGAGGTGCAAAAACTAGGTAAAACGTCAATTTTGCAAGTTCTAAAAAATACTTCAATGCAAGCTGTTAAAAGGGAGCATAAGGATAACACTTAAAGCCATTTTTTGTGTCAAGCAGAGGCAAGGATTGAAGGATGATACATTAAAGTGCTATAAGTGGATCTGTGAAATACTTTTCATTTTGGTTACGTGGACTTTTAAATATATTCCAAAAACCAGTTTTCAGAGCACTAAGTCGGCCTAAAATGCTAAAAATACAAAATGAGCTATTTCCATGGCAACGGGCTACATATGGATTTGAAATGTCTTTTTTGTTTACTTGCACCCCAAGTCCTTTCATCCTACAAAGTATGAAAAAAAAATGAATTTTTGACCGTGGACACGTGTCTGGTGATCACGTGAAACGACTCATAATTGGACATAGTCGGAAAGGAGCCTTGTTATTTTCTTTTGACCTTCAATCGGGGATAAAGCAAAGACTGCTTTTTTATTTAGTGCACTGTAAAATCCTTTTACACCGTAATGTAATACCTGTAATAATATTAGGAAAAAGTCAATCGGTTAAGCCTGAAGATTCATCAAGCCTGCACAGTCTTTCCACCTTTGCACATTTGTGTGCGTATACTTCGGCAATCCAGCACAATAAAAGTGGGAAATTAATTTCCCCTCAAAATGTTACAATAGCCGGCAGAAAGTAAGTATAACATGTCAAGGAAAATTCCAAAGCATTGACTTAGAAAACACGTAATTTTTTCCAGCCAAGTCTAGTTAGTGCACAGGGGCATCAAGTGTTGTCCGTATATGGAACTCTTTCCTAAAAGAGCACGAAACAGCTGTACGTCTCAGTGATCTCACGGTTTTTAAGTTTAGTTAGGCTAACTTGAATAAAAGCAAGCTAAAAAGTGAAACTTAATGCAGTGCAGCAGCGCCCGGTTTACCGGTACGTTTCACGACAAACCGTACTCCAGAACCGTAGGGTCCGACGTACGAACAAGCGGGGCGGACGTCGCGGACCCCACAGTTCTGGGGGTCACTTTTCCAACCTCTATGCCGTATAACAACGTCCACCCAACAACATTCCATCTACTAACCCACCTTCAAAGGAATTCTTACCTCAGTACAGCCAAACGAAATCGAGGTGGGGATGCCGCGCAATGTCACCAGTGGTTGTAGCTGGAGTCTAGACGAGGAGTTCCAACATAGCACGAATACGCAATGACGGCCCACGCTACTAGTATGGCTAGCCGCAGTGCAGTGCCGTGAGCTCGTGGAAAAGCACTCGGCTCGCATATCTCGTGCGCATCGTTATGGACGGCCTACGGTTAAAAATTGCTACATTTAAAGGAGTAACGTGGGTAGTCGTTTAATACCGGCGAGCTTGAGATACATTTGAAAAGCATCGTGGGAAGCCCGTGGAGGGGTTCAGAGAGGGAACAATGGCGGAATGAACAAATAAGAAAACAAGAGGAAGAAATAAAAGGGGATGAAAATGACGAATTTGGCTTGAATCAAACCCCTTCGACCATCAGTTGGCTGTTACTGAGTGCTTATAGCTCCCCCTCCCCACAACACTCGCCACTCATCCGGAAAATCATGGTCTTGTCAGGACGACATGAGAGCTTGATGAGCCCAGTAAATTGATTCAGAATGATACACGTAAGTGTAGTAAATACAAATGATATATATAATAATAATATAAATAAAAACACGAATAGTAAACCACCCGGCTACAAATACACTCCGGGGAATATCACTTAAAAGAGTCACCTCAACGGCTTTCCATATAATAGTATTGTCGAATATGTATCATTTGACTGGAAACCGGAGTCCAATGAGTATTAATGAGTAAAGAGCAATGGCTCAGTCGAGTTCACTCAGCCTCCCCAATCTTCTCATGAAGAAGTCTGATTTTGACGAGCGGGGCGGAAAGTGCACGTAAACTTTAACGAGTTTACTAACGTAAAAATTGAATCTGGGTGCGTTGAAGCTCGCTCGCATTGATCTATCACTTCAATGCAGAAATTTATACACAATTCTCGCGAAGTTTGTACATGTACACGATTGTGAGGTGTACATGTGCATAGAGGTGACTGCGAGCATGCTCGAGCACTGGTCTACGTGCAGTCAGGCACACCATGGAGCTCCATTTTAAAGAGCACCTCTACGGAAAATATGTTTTCTCTGATTCTATCTGTTCAAATAAACGTAGAAACGTCCAGATCGAACGCAATGTCATTTGTCTTCAGAGCCCAACTATAACAAGCTAAAAAGAGCTATTTTGCTTTTAGTGTTATAGTTGAGCTCTGAAGACAAATGACACTGCGCGTGACCAAGACTGGGGTGTGGTTTTGCTTTTAATAACAAACTTTTTGGGTGAGCTAGCCTGGCGCTAGGCTACACATGATTAAAGCGTAGCTGCAATGAATTTTCTTAGACACAAGTCTTCTGTGATTTTTACTCTTCTTCAATGTATAAAAACTCTTTTCACTCTTATTTGGTTAAATGCATTGAAAAGTGCACTTAAAAAATTCTCTATGCTTTCCTGGACAACTGAGGACGCTGTTGCTGTGATCAACCTGGGAAGATATTGTTCAGTGCACAGGTTTTCGTGTTCAAATTGTGAACCCAGAATACTTACTGAAAACATTTATGAAAAAAGGGATTGATGCTTGCATGCTTATTGCTATGTACAAAAACAACAACATTTAGTCCAGAAAAACCTACATAAATGCAGGACTTGTTTGTATGCGAACCAGTCTAACAATGAGGCTTTCTTCTTGGGATGACATCACAGTTTTGCTCATGAATATGGAAATACTTATTGGCATAAAAACGTAAATGGCAGTAAAACACCCTTTGAAGTAGTGAAACAAAAGTTGAAAACAAGCTTGACTGAGACTTAAAGGTGCATTTTGAAGGTTTGTATTAAAACAGCTTGACTTCCAGCTACCCTTTAACGTTGATAGCTTAGTCCCTGGCTTGGTCCAAAAAGGCAGTGCGTGGTGTTCAACACTGAACCTTAAAGGCTCTTCTCGTTCAGCGGTGAGGCGGAATGTGGTACCACCAAACCCCATTCGGACTACCAGAAGGATTGACCTTCATCGCACTTTTAGTTTTTACCAAACATTGGTAGGAAAATTAATGCTAGCCGTGAAAAACAAAACAAAAGATAATTTATGGAGATAAGAGAAGATCCTATTTGTAGCCCTAAAGCGGGCGAAAAAAATTTCTGCTTTGGTTGTTTGTTTGGCTGCCTGTGCAAAGTAACACGCGAAATTCATACTATACACTGGTAAAAGAAATGTTTCAAATATACATGTACAGGAGTTCACTGCACTCTTTGCCAGGTGAGGAGAGGATGCGTGTTATTATCTCCATAATATTTGTTCTCTTCGGAGATGGAGCCTAATCCGCAGCACGGTCAAGATCTTGAATTCTTGCCCCAAGTAGGGATAAAGCCTAAATACTGGCTTTTATTTCCACCCGTCTCTACTTAAAGATGACAAGCACAAACCGTACAGTATCAAAAATACGTCTAACTTTATTGTCAAGCAAACAGTTCAAAGAAAAGTAAAGCTGTGGCTTCGTGGGCGCTTTGCATAATAGGAGTAACGCAATAATTAATAGAAAGCTTAAATTATGCGCAATAACAGACCGCTGGTCATTGGCGTATGCGTTCCAGGAGAAAGGTTTGTTACATTTATCTGTATTACAGTTCTAAAATATTTGTAACTGGTGAAAACCATAATGTTCATCCGTGTTGTATTCGATCGAGTCCATCACAAGTCCCTGTTAGTCTATCACTAGTCATTCAGTCTTAAGCCAGTTCATGAGCTGTTCAAATGTCTCTAACAAAAGCGTTCATTTGTTACAGATCATTTATGACCGGCATTGTGAAGGAACTTGTGACTGGATTTGGGAAAGGGACTTGTGAAAGGAAATGTGATGGACTCAAACACAACACTGTTTATGAAACACCCAATATCAATGCCACAAAACTGATAACTGAGGTAAGGAGGTATGAATTTGTCATCAACGCATGGAAGACAATGAATGGTTAGTCTCACTTCAGCCGTGATTGTCAGTTAATCATTTCGACTTTCAATCGGTGGAGCTCACGACTTTTCTCTACTTGGACTGGTACCGTCCTAATGGCCATATGTATTATTGCGCCCTCTGTTGATGTTTCGGTGTTGAATAAAAAACTTGGGTCTTTTTAAAAACTTAATCACGTGCCAAGACAGTTACAGTTTTTGGATATTGTAAATGAGAACGTAAATTCCGTGGGAAGGGGTATCTCCGCTCTTTTGACCAGGGGATGGTAAAAAATAAATGGCTTATTCCACCCTATTTTGTGGTGAGAAAAAAGATTATTTCTGAGGTATTTTTGAAATTCAAGACAACCAAAATGTCTTGAAAAAGGGAAGAAAAGTACCGTAGCTTTCAAAGGGGCAAAAATATACGTGTACATAAATGTGCATCTATATCTGTATCATATCTGTATCGCCCCCTTGTGTTAAAAAGTATCCATTAATTCCCCACCTTGAAATTTTTTATGGTAAGCAGGACTTTTTTTAAATTTCAAGTCACTTCCCATTCTAGTCATTAGGTTTAGGTATTCCTGGTTTCAATCCCTCAAACTAAAATTCAGTAGCCTTATATAGTAACTCAGCCATGACACTAAAGGTCATTTGACACCGGAAATAATGTATGTACCCGGTGAACTCTTAGTTACGCGCAACCCTAGTGAAGTTTATTTACGGTGACTCCAGTGGTACATGAAACGAGACACTAGGATAAAATACATTAACGATATTATGACATTATAAATTGAGGCAAAAAGCAAAAGCCGAGGGTCAGAGTAAACACTGTGACTACCCTTAAAGAGCACCTCTAAGGAAAACATGTTTTCTCTGATTTTATCTGTTCAATAAATAATAAATATGGAAGCATCCAAGTCGAACGCAGTGTCATTTGTCTTCAGAGTTCAATTGTAACAAGCTAAAGAAGGGTTTTTTCCTGTTCATACCAAGATGCAAATTCTGAATGTAGATTGCGTCATTCGCAGAAAATGAAGGGAACCCTCGCCCTGTGACGTAACGGATAAACCCTTGTGCATGTCAAACAATGCATGTGGGTCAAACAACGTACTGCATATCGCTTGGCATGCACAAGGGTTTATCCACTACGAACAAAGGGCGAGGGTTCCCCTCGTTTTCTCCGAATGACGCAATCTACATTCTGAATTCGTATCTTGGCATAAACAGAAAAAGAAACCTTTTCAGCTTTTTATAGTTGTGCTCTGAAGACAAATGACACGGCGTTCGAATTGGATGCTTCCATGTTTATTTCAACTTTTTCAATCATAATAAGCATGTTTTCCATTGAGGTGCTCTTTAAAAGTTTTCGCAGGAGACCTTCCTACACACCGGGCACTTCGGCTCTCTTGATTTCAGCTGAATCAGGGTAAAATCAGAGAGCGGGAAACAACGCTTACAGCCCATGCACGCAACCTCCTCCTTGTACTCCCAAGACGTGCTGGCACGTTCAGGGATGAGGCGCCAAGGCAGGTAAGCATTCCTTTCGTATTTATCGTACAAGCGAACCTCACGATCCCGTAGGAATTCCACATACTTCTGTGAGGCACATCGCAACCACGCCGCATAATTATTGCGGCCGCTGCGGAGGCACCCATTCATGAACTGATAGAGAGACAGGTAGCCTCTCACGCTCAGGGCAGCCAACTCCTGCAGCTTCGCCTGGATTGGTCGCTCCAGCCAAACCCTGCCAGAGTGCTCCATCATTGGCTTGCAGGATAGCTTCAGCTTAATCAATCTCTCCTCCGAAGACCTCAGGTAGATCTCCAGACAGCGCTGATAGCCACGCACGAGGCGCTTGATGTCTCGTTTAGTTGAGCTATCTTCCCTGTAGATAATCTGCGTGGATCCGAATCATCATGGAAACCATTCTTTAGCCCTTTCGGTAACCCACAGACTATAAACAACTGCACACAGATTGAAATCTGTCACTTGGCGGGATAAAGTGATGTCCATAATTAGATCTGGAGTAGAATAACTGAAATCTCACTACACTGTTTGCTCACAACGACTTTTCTTAAAAATTCAATACGGGCGTTTCATAATAGTGCTAATTTCATGATAGTGAGGATCCAATGCGAGTCTGGAAAGGGTCAACAGATTTTGCGCATTGTGATTGGCCAACGCGTTGCAAACTCTTGGAGGCGCCCGTATTCAGAGACACTGCGTTGTCCATCCAGTCGTGTGTCATGGGTATATAATTACATGTATATGCATTAGCCTGCTGTGTGCCAATCACTGACATAAGGGAAATCGTCAAAGTAAAAATACATAACAGGGTATATTGGCGCCACTCCAACGAAGGCAATTCATGTACTGCACTCAAAAATCGGCCCAATCTTTTATTCAGCAACCAGTGAGCACCTATCGGTAATTGTGCACGCACGGCCCCGGCCCCACCAACCCCCATACCAGGGATATAAATTCCCCTCCCACTTTTTGACCTGAAGATTACTCTATTGGACCATCATCCACTTCTTTGTGGTGAGAAAAAAGCGGATGTTAACGTATACCCTTTGAACTTCTTAACAACAACATAATTAATGTAATAAATACTATTAAAAAGGGAAAAATAGCAAAAGCTTCAATTCTGCCGTTTTGGTGTAACATTAATGTATCTGAAAATTAATAGGCCTACATGTATCTGAATTATTATTAACGGAAATTTCACGGCTGTGCAAGGTTCGACTTAAGTCACTCTCCGTCCTCGTAGTCCCCTGCAAAGATTTGGAACACTGCCCTGTAAGCTTTCTTGGACAAACCCGTTTAAAGCTCCCCCTGCGATTGGACAGATGGACTTTTTGAATATGCACGAGAGACGTGAGACACATCGCCAATGCAGTTGCAACTGAGACAGGAAGATTTACACTTACTTGGAGAAGTTGCAGGTCCAGTACATTGGCAAGTTTCACCCCGTGCTGGTGCCAAAGGCAGTCAGAATCCTGACGGCAGTCAAACATCAGCTTCTCCCGGTCGGGGTCCTGCAGTAGATCTCGTAGGCCTTCATCGAAGACTTGGGTTCCCAAGGTCTTGATGTCAAACAGGTAGGTGTAGTTCTTGGTGGCCACACATACAAGAGAGAGAGTTCCACGTCGGCTGAGGTCCTCCCCTTCACAGTTGACAGCCAAGAAAGGGAAGGCCTGGTCGGGTTCGCGGATTTTGGCCAAGGCCGGCTGTATCTGGCCCACCTGGTCCACGAGCTCCCGATGGCCGATTTTGCCCATTGATCCCAGAGATCTGCAGACAATTGAAAACTAACCTTCCAATTTCAGTACTTTTTTGTTTCACATATACCTTCGGGTCAGTGGGCACATGTGCAGGTGGGGGAGGGGAGTTGGAATGGCAAATTTAAAAAAAGTTCACTTTTTTTTCTGTTACGTAATCCACCCCAAGGAAGGTCACGGTGCCATTGTAATGCTGTCGCTGTCCTCCAACCCCTACTTCTTTGTCAAAAATGCCTAGGGGGTAAGTTGCCGCCCCCCTCTACGCTGGACACGCCGTGGCTTGTGTTTAACGGTTCAGGACACAAAGTTCACTTTTAATTCTGTTTTAAAACAGAAAATATACCCCTATTTTTGCTGGTAATGGCGATGATGTGGTGGTAGTAGAGACGGAAATACAGAAATGGAAACAAAACAAAACGAAACTGGAAACTTACGTCCCAGATATAACGCTCGCCGTCCCAGAGCTGTAGCAAGCCATACTGTCGAGTGTCGACAACAAATCAAGTAGAAAGACGGTGATCGGCACAAGATCAAAACCGATCCGTTTATATCACAGTGAAATATGTACAGCCAACAAACCAAGTCGAAAGTCCAAGTCCAGACACATTACAACATAACAGCGGGGGTTCTCCGATCACCCATTTTGTTGAATTGGGTATTGAACGGAAATTCCCCGACTCGTTTTCCGAATAACAAGTGGGGAAAACATTTTACCTTGCAAAGATTTCAACAAGGCATTAAATTATTACAGGAATCAGTGGTCGAGAAATCTCTTTGCGGCCTATTGTTAGGTACGTGTAATGGTTGAATGAATTCTTGTCACGGTTTTCCTAGTAACCATGATTCCCCTACCATGAATCGAAATGCCATTTTTACACCGCCATTGCGTGCGCGGGGAATTCCCGTTTGTACGCAATCCTAGTTACGTGGAATACGGTGGCCTCGATGGTACATTGTGCACTGAACACAAGCGCCGGATGCTCACGATATCTTGCCAGACTGGCAAAGCCAAGGGATGGAGTATATACTGCTACAACTCCAAAATGGAAAATAAAGAGCAAAGACGGTCCAAACTGGTTCACAATATAATGGTAACCTATCAAACCGCTTCGCAGCACCCTCGTTACCAGGAAAGAACTAAATGGCCATAAAAATGATTCTTTTGAGGTATGTCTGAGGTTTGATATTTCGGTGGGTCAAAGTAATATTGACTCCATTGCGTGTAATATACCATACTACATGTAGTTTGCGTTTTAACATGATATTCTTTTTTTTAATGACTGTTTAGAGGATCAATAAAAATGTGGAGTGTGGCTCTTGCGCGTTTTCATCGTTGACAAAGTGAGCGTGACACGTCACGCTCTACATTCAGTGTCGAGGTGAATCATTTGGGTTTTTTCAGTTTCTCAGATGCAAAAAGCACCGAACAGAGCAAGTGCAAAATTGGCCTATAGAGCAACCGTGTAGAATTTGATGCAAGAAAACGCCGTATTTCAATGAACCGCATCGTTGTAAAATATTATATAGCTACAACCTTGGGAATTTGTTGCACAAAATTACACACGAAATATATTTAAGTCGTGTTTTTCTGGTGAATTCACAAGTCATTTCTTAGTTTGGATAGGACCGGCCTTTCCAACAGCTTCTGCAGGCATGGCAAATACCGATCCTAAAGGTGACATTGATTATGTCTTGAGTGATGCACTGGTCTTCATTTCGGATGAGGAGGACCAGGGGATTCAGAGAGGAGTGAAAAGGTAAGTGGAGGTGGACGAATTCCTCGCCAGAAGATGATGCAGAGGCAATCTGGTGGGTTGATATGATTGTGAGTTAGTGACGTATGGGTTGACATTGTAGCGGCATCTTGTAGCTGAACACTCCTAATGATTGGATGTAGCATTAAGGAAAAAATGTGCTTTTTCCTCTCCGAATTCTTCCAATGGGGGAGGGGGGTGACACAGAGAGCAGGTAGGGTGCGCCTCTAGCTACAGATTAGTTTGGCAAAAATCGCGCCTCGTATTGGTTCAATGCGCATTGATTTTGGTGTGTAAACGCACTCTGGTCTTGACAAAATGTCGATCGTTGCCATAGGCTACAAAGCAACGCAGCAGTCAAGTTAAGGGAAAATCTGATGACAATGGTAACAAAAATGAGCTCAGAGATTATTTCCTTCATGGGCTTAAATCCGGGGGATGGGGGGATGTATATCCAGTGGCGTAAATCAGTGTTGAAAATTTGGGTGATGGGATAGGTGGGGGATGACTTGCCCGGCCATGAAATTTGAACAGCGAGGGGGGGACACCATATACACTAAATAGGGGCCGATGTTCATGATAAAGATGAACATCTGTTATGTTGTATTACATTCACGCAGATTCTTTCATCATGATAGCATATTTATGGCTCTTTAAAACTGCTTTCACTTTCTAGTGATATTGCAAACATTTTTAGTCATTGGGAAATCCTGGAAATTCTCCACAATCCGGTTTTCATCACATCTGTTATGTGTATTACATTCACCCAGATTCTTTCATCATGATAGCACATTTATGGCTCTTTAAAACTGCTTTCACTTTCTAGTGATATTGCAAACATTTTTAGTCATTGGGAAATCCTGGAAATTCTTCACAATCCGGTTTTCATCACAAAAAAGTGGGGGGAGGATGATTCAATAGCCCATCCCCCAAAAGTTGGGGGTGGGGACCGTATCCTGGGGATCCTGCAAATTTTCATGGCCAGGTAAGTCATCGCCCATCTTTCCCCATCCCCAATTTCCAGCACAAATTTACGCCACTGATTTCCTTCCAGTCCGCATAGTAATTTCTTGGGTAAAATGAATGGTTAGATCTGCTGAAGATGCGGCACTTGTCCAAGAGGACCAAGTGAAGCCTACTCCGGCCAAGCGCCTTGAGATAGACGGGGAGCCATCCAAGGTAGAGCTCGATGAAAGTGGACCGCCGAATCAAGTAGACAAGCCTGCTGAGCCATCCCAAACGACGGTAACACCCAAGACAACCGAACCAAGGTCTGTTCTCCCTGTAAGATAGCGGAGGGTATAAGCTGGGGGGTGAAAAAGCATAGATAGGTTGATTCTGACAATACTGACGGGACTGTTTGCATCTCTACACCCTACATTGATTATGAAGCCCAAGTCTTTGATGACTGTGACCTAAATATGACGGTTACCACTATACAACGACATGAGCAACAGACGTGACAACACGACAACGACGTTGACTGTGACTGTGGTTGACTTACAGTAACAATACATGATGGTAACAAGTTTTCGTGGTGGAAGTGGGAAATGCGAGTTTAAAGAGAGTTAGTCTTTGCAAAGTCCTTCGCCACTTGCAGGTATTCTGACAGATGTTAAAAGAAGCTGCGAGTAAGGTAGCGACTGGTGCGGAGACTACTTCATTAAGTGCAAGTGACGAGGTCACATTAGCTCACTTTTCACGCATACTCTCTGCTCAAGCCGCTTCGCTCCTGAGCAACTGATCGAAGAATGAATTTTTCTTTTTTGTCTAAATGAACAGTCCTGCGGGTCACAAGGAAAAGACCTACACACTCGTGGACCAGGAGTCTGAAATAAAGCAAGCTTTGGCCAACCTCCGCGAATGCAGCGAGGCGAATTCCCTTCTAGCCGTTGATTGCGAGGCAGAAAAGCTGGGCCGAGATGGAAAGCTGTCCCTTGTTGCCGTGGCAACAGAGAGACACACCTACCTGTTCGACATCAAGACCCTGGGAGCCAAAGTCTTCGACGAAGGCCTACGACATCTGCTACAGGACCCCAACCGGGAGAAACTGATGTTCGACTGCAGAAGTGATTCCGATTGCCTCTGGCATCTGTACGCAGTCAAACTCACCAATGTCCTGGATCTACAGCTTATGCAGGTAAAAGATTCTACGCCGTGCATAGACACAACTGTTCTGTTTTCCCCGCTGTGCTGTCACCAGTTTTGAGCACAGAACATGCTAATTACAATAATGCGCATGATCCGAGGCCACCTGACGACGGCTCACCGAATCCCAGGGCATAATATATGCACACACTAAGTCTTGAGTAGGTGTCTATGGCAGCATAAGTGCGCCTATCCGATGAGAACTAGTGACTAGATTGACAACCAAAATGATGTCAGGTGAATCATATCCAGTCAATTCATTCAGCCATACTGTAGACACTTCCGGCAATTAGCTTAGTCTTGATTGAAAGCAGCTTTAAACGTAATTTCCTTCATCATGAAAAAACTTTGTGACAATGTATAACAAAGCCCTTTTACCTTTTTTGATCAGATTATCCATCAAGAGAGTGATAAAAGCCACCCTTACTACGGTAGGGTCATGCCACGAGACTTTCAGCGCAGGATCAAAGGCTTTAAGAAGTGTCTGGAACACTACGTTGACGACCAGAATTTTGCTAGAATTAAGAACAGCGGTTTGCCGTTGATGGGCAAGGACGGCGTGAACTGGATGAAGAGGCCTTTGATTAAACAACTCTTGGAATACGCCGCGGTGGACGTTCAAGGTTTTTTCCCGCTTTACTGCAAGCTTAAGTCAGCCGTGGACACGCCTTCAGCCAAAAAACGTCTTCAAGTCGGCTCCCAGCGATACCTCGATCTCTACCAGTCCAAATCGGTCCGCATCTACGACAAATACGAGCTAAATGCCTTTCTACCTTGGCGCGTTCTTCCGGACTCCGTAAACGAGACATTTTATCGGCAGGAAGTCACTTGCACCGGATGCAAACGTCGATTCCCGCGGAGTGATTTTACAAAGACACAACTGCGACTCGGTTCGCAGAAGTGCCCGGTGTGTAAGAAGATTGATAAGGGCTGTTGATGGCTTCAACCCATTCAAGGATCCCAAACGATCACATAAGCCTAAATTTAGCAAGTAGTTGGGTGTAGAGTGAACCTTGGATTGTTAAAAATTATAGTACTTCAATAAACTGACACTGGAGAGTCGTATGTTGCAGATTTAGGTCGTGCTAAATCTATAACGCCTATCGAGGACTCTTAAAATGCTCCTTGCACATAATGCTACTAAAAGCATGGGGAAGTTTTGATAAAAAGGGAGAAGACGGAGATGAAAACATAAACCCTCGATCATGTCTTTTATGGAGTATAGATCAGTTGCTTGGTGAAAGATTCATTTATAATAACTTAGTAAAACGTATGCTCCATTTATTAGTTTTAATTATATTCAGTAATATTCTTTTACTTGTGGGCTTCGAAGAAGTGAACTTTAGATTTTGGATAACTCAGGCAACCTGTTCCTTTTTCAAAGGAGATTGATCTCTAGCCGTACTGTTATCTACTTGACTTTTATGCAGCTGATTCTATATAAATTCAGTGTTTTTTGTCTAACAACACGCGAAATAGTTCAAACCTTCAAAATGTTACCATCATAATCCATCATAATGATTAAATTCAATGTTCTACAGGTGGGGACGAAACACTAGTTTAGACAACATGTACCCGTTTCAAAACTATTATTTGCTTAATGCTTCGAACCTGGGAAAACCATTGATGTTATACTTATCTCTCTAAAGGGACATTCAGCTTTTAAACGAGAAAAAGATAAACACAGGAAGATTCTGTACACCCAAAAGCAGTGCAGCGTTTCTACTGGATTAAAGCTGGTAACTGTAATGTGGATTAGAAGGAAATAAAATGCTGTTTGAATCTTAATTCATGCCAATTTGTAATTTGAAAGCAAAACATTTGTTGTTAATGCTGGGCCTGCGGATAACTTCCGTTTTGGTGAGTGGCCGCGTGATATACAGAGAGATACTAGTTCCTGTTGAAACGATTGAAATTAAAACGCGTGTGTGATTGGACTGTGTATCGGAACGTTTGCGTTGATTTCATTTACGCGTCACTCATGAATAATTCACCAAATATAACTTGAAGTTCGTCATTATCCCCTATTAGTCACGGTGTTGTAACCGTTTTTTGTCCTCACGAAAGTGTTTTTGATCCCGTCTTTTGGATATTAATTTCACATCACCAATGATCTTGCTTAATTTTCACATGATCGCACAATGTGTAGGCCTCCTGAACAATGGCTTCACTTATCATAGAAAAAAAGCAAAATGTTTCTTTGACTACTGCTTACTCGTTACTGCTGATTACTCACTGCATTGTGGGAAAATCCATTTACTCATTAACATAAACCTGGAGGAATTCTTCTGGACTCCATTATTGGCAACTGGTCCATACAGACATCTGAAGGCAGTTGCTAAGTAGGGACTGGGAACTCTGACATTTGACATCCGGCATTTGTGCCGGGGATTCCCCGTGTCGGACACGCAATCAGCAAATTCCAGAGGATGCGTCACTATTCGATATCGGTAAGGCAAGGCTTCACAAGATATTTGCTCCATTTGTGTTTGCAGACCAGCTGCTGAAGCAGAACTTGAAAAGAGTAGACCAACCACTGAAGCAAAACCTGAAACTCCCGTGGTGAAACAGGTTAAAGTTGTTCACCTTTTTCAAGCGTGAGCTCAATTTGATGTTACAACGTTAGTATCTACGGCAGGCCATGGCTAGCTCCTATCAAGGTCCATCTTACGACCTCATTGACAAAGCATCAGATATAAGGCCAGCCCTTGCCAAACTCCGTGAAGGCGTGACGAGCTCACCATTTCTAGCCGTCGACTGTGAGGGAGAAAGCCTCAGCCGCAAGGGGCAACTGTCCCTCGTGTCCGTGGCACTGCCGACCCACACCTACCTGTTTGACATCAAGACCTTGGGAGCCAAAGTCTTCGATGAAGGCCTACGAGATCTACTGCAGGACCCCGACCGGGAGAAGCTGATGTTTGACTGTAGGTCTGACTCTGATTGTCTCTGGCATCAATACCACGTGAAACTCACCAATGTGCTCGATCTTCAGCTTCTGCAGGTAGGTCTTCAACCTTGCTTAGTGTAATTTTGAAACCCTATCGAGATTTTGACTGGCACTGGTATTTTATAGAATTATCTGCGCTATAAATTCAAGTGTTGCTCTAATTGCTTCATAAAGCCTATGGTGACGTCCATAATATGATCTCTAAGTGGGTGCATTTGCCTGAACGTGCATTCTTATATAGCGAGGACATTTTTCGCTAAATGTTGCACGGTAGGTTTGAAACTGTGTAAAATTTGTCAAAACGTGTAGATAACTGCGACCACTGAAGGCTTGGCATGGAAAAAAACCTGAAAGTGATATTGAAAAAGGTATTTCCTCGACCTTCTAAAACGAATCTGAGAAACTGTCAGGGTCTGGGGTATTTCTTCTGTTTAGATCATCTACCGAGAAACTAACCCAGAACCAGTACAAGATGACAAACCACGGCAGGTGTCATGGCCAGGCAGCAGGCGTCAGCCTATGGCCACTGCCAGCAGGCCTCCGATTAACGTCCAGCCGGTACTCCGCAGCTTCCTGCGATGCCTGGAGCTTTACGTGGACGACAAAGACCTCACCACTGCCAAAGCAGCCGGCAAGGAGAAGATGGAGCGAGAAGGGACGGCAGTGTGGATGAAGCGGCCTCTAGAGGCATCATTGCTAGCGTACGCCGCTGCAGACGTCCAGGGTTTTTTGCCTCTGTACCGGGCGCTGCGGGGAGCGATAGCTAACCCAGACAAGAAGGAACGGCTTCGGAAAGGTTCACAGAATTTTCTCGACTATCTCCGGTCTCGCTCGTTCCGTACCTACGACGATTATGAGAGAAACGGTTTCCTGCCTTGGCGTATTCTCCCAGCGTCGGGGCATGAGCGACCGTACACTCCAGAGGTTTACTGCAAGGGGTGCAAGCGCGCTTTCCCAAGGCAGGATTTTTTTGCTCTACACATTCGAAGGGGAATTCAGCACTGCCCTGTGTGTAGGAAAATCTACGGACTGCAGCAACACTGAACCTGAAGGGTGCATGTCATCTCATCTTCAGGGGCAAGGGTGGATCCAGAATTAAAGTTCACCAAATTTCAAACTTGTTTTTCACATACGGTATAATTTTACGCTTTTTATACTTATTTAGAAGGAAATAAAAAACACCCACCTCTCAAAAAAGAGGCCCTTGGAACTGCCCTTGCTAGAAGTTTGAACTATGTTGCATATAGAATTATACCTTGTAAATAAAATACGTCTATGAAAATCATTGTCCTGATGCAAATATTATAAATTATTAATCGTAAACGATAAATCTAGAAAGAGTTGGTCGTAGCTATACAAAATAGGTTCAGTGAATTTTAAAATGCAGCAAAGAGAATAGAACTGCACAAAATTCATCAAGAATCCATAGAAATATTCCATTGCTAGTTTTAAGTCAAGTGAAGGAGGTAACGTGCACAAAAGGTGTTGTAAATTGCTTATATCTTTTGATTGTTATAGTTATTCAGTACTTACAAAAATGAGTTTATTAGAACAAAAACATCTTTACGTATAAATGTTACATATACATGTAGCACCATTTTGTAAAATATATGTGTGAGATGTAATACCGGTATGTGAAATCTAGTCTTCAAGATACAGGTATACCGCTGGGCCAAAATTTCACAACCAATGCTATGTCGTGACTCGAAGAAAAAGTTTAGTACCTTGCTGTGTCAACTTTAACAGATTTTCGGTGATAAACTTGTTTTAACATTGTAACTGTACTGGTAAACATCAAAGGTGGAGCTTGTGAGCTTTGACCTCAGCCACTCTGCAGTTACCCGGTTTGTCGTTTGGTGATTATTGATTCGTTGATAACAATATGTAATTTGCCATGGGACACATGAAGATTTCTGTTTCTTTGGTGAAAAATGTTGAATTTTGCATGCAACACGTCGCGCAATTAAAATGCCGCATAAAAAATTCGTATCGAGACCTTTACGGCGTAAAGAGACGCAAAGTTACCTTTTCCAAGAGCTGTATAAAAAGAAAAAGGGCAGCACCACACCCGGCGCTCAGTGTTATTTGCTTGTTCGAAGGAAACTGTTTCGCTCAGTGCAGTTAGCGGTAATAGCGTTTTACTCGTTCACCGCTGCGTGGACAAAATCAATGACGCGGAATACAAGTGTTATCAGCCTTCAAATCAAACAAAACACGACCGTACAAACGATTAGATTTGAAGTCTAATTCAAGCATGTGCTTTATATACTGTTCATAGACACAGGTGCTCAATTATAATAATCACGAGTTATTGATTATAATTGCATATTTCCCTGACAAATTGCGTCTACTCTCCAGGATCGGATTTCATTTGCACAGTACAAAAATCAAGACAAACCTTTAGCCACAAGAAACGAAAAATGAAAGTCCATCGCTGTTACATGTATTTCTCAGAAAAAAATCAGTGAACGCCATTCGGTTTCGCATACTAATATGATCCATACTGAAACATGTACAGCGCAATATGGATTGTTTATACCAGCATATAAAGGGACCTATTTTGTCGTACATCAAGAATACCTCAATGGCGTTGTATCGACTAATGCCCATGAGCCAGCAGCACAATGGATATTAATGTCACAGCGACAACTATAATGCAGACCTTCAGCCCGACGCAAGAAGCGACGAATCACTGTGAGTGTAGCAGTATAAGTTGAACAATATATCTTAAATTACACCTAAGTCCAGTTAAACGGGACTAGAAACGTGCAAGGGGGAAAAAAGCTCGGCTAATTGATATGTTGAGCGAAAATGCCGCGCCACTCTCAACCAACATCTGTGGCATGTCACGTCTGTTATTGTTTTGCTGTCTTGTGTGCTGGACGAATATTTTCCCCTTTCGTGAAACTTGCCAAGACGAAATTAAGCGGAAAAGAGGAGGGGTGGAGCATTGATCTATAATACGCCTGGGCGGGAGGAGGGTTGAAATCCTACAGAGCAAATATAGCACTTGAGGAAAAAGGTAAGCCGGGGAAAAGTGTCACCATTTCTGTGTTTTATAGCATATGATCATTCCTGCGTGAAAATGTCGCATTATTGTAATGTGACGAATACACAGTACGCGCTACACTTGATCGTAATAATTTACTAGTATGATAATTCCTCGTGGGCTGGGACACCAAGGCGTCTGGCATATGTCACCAAAAATGCTGAAACGGTTTGGCTTGAATTATTTGCATATTTATGATGGGTAAATTTACAATTGCGGATTTTACCGTCCGATCGTGTGCTTTGTCATTATGTTTTTGTTTAAGATATGGCCGTACCCCCAAGGTCACCTCACGGGGAAGTAATGTGACAGATAAACTACAAAGATGACATAAATTACAATACAGGATATGCACGTGTATACCGTTTGTGCACAACTGCTTTTAAAATCGGTACAACTAACTCTCGATAGCCGAGCTCGAGGAGTCGTGTTCACGTCTTTAATATGGAGTGTGCCTGCACTTTGGATGGCTCTGCAGGGTGTGAGAAGTCCCAGACAAGTGCAAGAAAGGAAAAGACGCACCAGGAGTCTACAATTTAAAGTTCACAATGCTGCATTATGTATCTGGCTTGCACATTTTAACTGGCTAGCATAAACTGTGATCCGCGAGAGAAACAGAGAGCAGTACAGTGCAGGTCAATTACTGTTCTCGTTTCCGTGTATGGAGCTTGTATTTGAGCAATAGAAATATTGATGAGCTGTGAATATTCATAAGGTCAATCTTGGATTCAAGGGTTAACGATTTCAGCAAGAAATTTGCTTCCTTTGCTCTCAGTGAAAGCCATTAAACACGGGCACGTTCAACTGCACAATACGTACGCCGGTATGAGCATACCCTGTTAGTGGTATGCAGGTACGTAAGGTATTACAACTGAAAAGGGAATTGTCAGGTGAGTGTTAGAACTGAAATTTCGTCTTTGCTGCCTACAGGATTTAATGGCCTGTATTGCTTCATATTTCTGGTTCATATTAATCTGTTCTATAGGCCTTAATTCTTCGTATTTTATACACAACAGCTTAAAACAGCTTAATTTTAGGCATTATACTTTGTCTTGATTTGAGGATGAGGTTGAGCATTGCACGTCGGTCGAGTTTCCGAATATGCTGAATATCGGTGAACGAGTTATTCCTAGTTATTTCCTCTATGCAGCTTATCTGTGGATTGTCTCGGTGTGCATAGGCGTCGTCAACTCTATCCTTCTCGTCATCCTGCTTGTGTGGCTATGCAGACACCCCAAACTCAGGTAAGACTTTGCAAGATGCGGTCTTGTTGAGAATGCCTCCCTTGTAACTGAAGGGAATTTTTGTAGGGTTAAAAAGACATATTGGGCACCAGTCTCCCTGGTATAGATTAAAATGCAAACTGGATCAGCTGGATGGACTTGAAATACGTGTCCATCAGCTATAGGCTATATGTACACTAGAGGTTATCACTTCTATGTTCACGCACATACACCGACATCAGCACTTTTGCAGGTTTGGGGAATGGTCTTCCAATATTTCCGGAAAAATGAGATGAGAGACAAAACAGAAGAGTTCACGAAAAAGTACACACGTGAAAGGAAAAAGAGTGTTATAGAGAAACCAAACAGAATTGATAGAGGCTTATAAATGAGTCTACTGTCAAGTACACGTTCGAAAAAGCTATACGCCGGGGGCGTAGTTTAGCGACATAATAGCCAACAGGTATTTGAGATATCAAAGCAATAACCTGGAACATGTCTAAGGAACACAGTACAAGGAAGCATAAGCATGGTTTTTCTCAATACTTGGCATATTTCTTCCCATTTCTACTTCTTTTTTTTTTAACATTTTTGAAGAATACGTCTTTAATTCCAGAATGTGTAGTTCACTAAGTTGAGAAACAACAAAAAACATTATTTCCCTTTTTTCCACAATTTTTAACCAGTTCTGAATCAATTCAAGCTTTTGGCTCTCGATTGGTCAGAACAATGTCATTACACAGAAATTACCAAAGGCGCGAAAAAGCCAGTCAATGACCTAAGGAGAAAAATGTTGCCATTCAGGCTCGCCAAAATAAACTCCAACTGGATTTGAAACCAAACAGGAATGCTTTAAATAACAAATCCAATGAATTTCTGGATTTATTTTCCCTACAGAGGAGGATGTATCTCCTCAAGGACAAAGAAACCCAAGACGGAATCGCCGAAGAAGATACTAACTATCGACTACCGCATGTCAGACCTGGATGATGCATTGGAACGCTGCCCTCAACGGCAAGGCGCTTTTATGATTGGACAGTCTGTGCCGCAAGAGGGTCGGCAGCCAAGTGTCCAAGTTCATCACCGTGGCGACGAGCTCCAACTGGATAACCCATCGTTCACTGCTGCTCCCGAAAACTTTGCAGATGCGGTGTACGAAAACACAAGCTTCTCGCCAAAAGTTACATGAAAAAATGTGCGAAATGAACGCCACTTCAAAATGTAAAAACGATCAAATTGAGGAGAACACAGGGATTATGAAACTATGTAGGCCCTTCGGCGGTTTCATCAAAGATCTAGTGTTTCTGGGCTTTTTCGACCTGTTTCTCATTGCAGTTTGCTTCAACACAAAGTTGGACCATTTATATCTTGGGACAATTTCTCTTTTTTTTCCAGAGTTAAAATTTTGTATCAGCAGCACTTGTGTCATATTTTAAAGTTAAGTTTGTAGTGCATTTTCACCATGAATTGGCAAATAAAAGTACACAGGAGGCGTAAACTGTAGCTCAGAAGGTCGCAAGACACGATGTAAATAAATATTTCATCTGCGTCTTGAATGAAAACTGCCTTAAATAAGTTTTGATTCTCTGCGCACGGTCACTCGTTGTATGACAGCGAATGTTTGAACTGCAGAAGACTGGTGTATGATGCCTGATTTCTGTTCAACATAAAAAGCTTCGCACGCTGTTGTAAAAAATATTCACTCAAGAATCAGCAGGAGGGGGATTATGATTTTAAATTCAACTGCACATCAAGAGTTTTAAGCTACTGTGACACATACACGTGCTGGACTTTCTTTGTCGTCACATTGCTTACAATATGTGTAGGCCTAGATGTAGATAAAGACAAGTGACTAACCTTCAAGTCCAGATCTCTCGTACAGTTTCTCGTACTCATGTCAGACAGCATGGGGTTTGAGCAGGGGGTAGGGAACACGATGCAAGTTGTAGCTGCAAGATCAATGACAGGTCAACATTTCCCTCTGTCGAATCGTAGCGGTACAAATGCAGCAGAAAGTCGAGCTTGTGTGCATGTCCATGGTGGAGGTTGATGGTGGAGCACTACAGGCAGCGATATTCCACAATGGCCGTCCCTGCTGTTCGTTTGCGAGCAAGCTTGAAGCGCAAGTGATGGAGTGGCGTCTAAAACACTTCTAGCGTTATTCCTATTGTAATTCAAATTAGCCTTGCACCTTGCACAGTCAAAGGAGTTGATAACAAAAGCACAGATTTATATGTTAAGTAGGCAAACATCGAAAAGCAATTCTTGACCGTTTGCAATTTTCCGTACCCACGAGATAATTGTTAAATTTAAAAAATTAATTAAAAACGGTTTGATTTCCTCAGGGTAATGCACCTGTTGTCAAGGGAAACTCTTTTCACTCGTGGTTGTATTGTCTATTGAAAGAGACAGAAGTATAGACGGATTCGCTGAAGCCATTACTGTGGTGTCCCCGTCACTCAGGTGCGCATTCCTATGCTGAACGATTTGGGTTAGCAGAGCGCATGGTGCGCTCCAATACGGGCGATTCAAAATAGTGCGCCACGAAGAGTTTGCAACACGCTGGCCAATCATAACGCGCGAAATTTGTCGACCATTTCTTAACGCGCATTGGGTAGACAAATTTCGAGCGTTGTGATTGGCCAACACGTTGCAAACTCTTGGAGGCGCACTATTGTGAAACGGCCGTATTGGCTGAAGGGGAAGCATAAAATCGCATCTCTTGTTCGCACGCGTGGGGACACTGTAGTGATGGCTCCTGATTCTTGTTCCAGGTCTATATAGTGGCCAGTTGTTTTTCCTTCACCAAAAATACGAAGCAAAAAATGTTGCCAAAGTTCTCAGCCATAAAATTAAAGTGAATTAAACTTGTATTTTCGTTTGCAAATATGCTGATTAATTTGTCGTAAAAAATCATTAAAAAATAATAAAATTGTACAAAAAAGTAACACTAGAAATATTTAGATTCTCTTGATTAGAATAAGGCTTAGCCATTTATTAAAGGATCCATGCAATTCATTTTCTAGGACAAAATTTGCATGCATTTTATACTCTTCCTTAATGTATGAATCCTTTTGGATTTAACTTTATTGAAAAGTATCCAAGCTTTTCCGGAATCTGGACAAGTGAGGGCAATGTTGCTGTGATATAAATTAGGTAAAAACTGCAGTTTTCATGTTCATGTTTTAATCCCAAAATTTTTCTTTTTGAAAATATTGCTGGGAAGAGGTTGCTCGCTTATTGCCATATATCTACTGCCAAGAATACTACAGAAAAGTACAACGAAATTCAGCAGTTATTGTGCACAATTCACTGCACTTCAGTGCCTAGGATGACATCACAGATTTGCTTATGAATATGCAAATTGGCAGCTGCATGAAAACGAAAAAGGTTCCAAAACACAGATTCAATTGAAAAACAAAACTTGAAAATTTCGAAGGTTGCAATGAAAAAATTATATTGCATGGTCCCATTAATTCATCGAAACTCATATTTCACCCTGTTAAAACAAAAGTTAATAATATCCACATGACTAACTCAAACATGCACGTCTAGTAGCAACATCTTTAAAAGTTTATGGACTTGGCGATGATTTCTTTATTTAAAGGAGCCTCAAATTCATAAGCACGGAAACCTTTCTTTTCAGCAAATATATACAAGTCGCTCAAAGTTATTTCAAAGATGGATTTATTCGCCTGAAGTTGATCTTTTGCAAATGCTTGCAAAATTTATAAATTTTGAGGTTTAAAGATTAAAAGTTTAGGCAATTATCCTTCTCAAGCAGAGGCACCCCCATCAGATGAAAAGAGCCACATTAATCAGTATTTTTATTTAGTTATTTTGGCAGCGATGGGACCGTAAGGCGTGCGTGAAATAGTCGTTTGTGAATCAGCAAAGTTCAGTTCCGACCAAACGAGCCTCGGTCCATTGCTAAGAAAATTGCGCCCTCTATTGGTCCAGCTCGAATCTCATAAACAAAACCGTAAGACGCGTGCCAAACGCTATTTGTGGCTAACCCGGGATTACCCTTGAAAACCACAGACCTCTTTAATGAGTAGGTTTGTGCTCCTTAATTTGATTATTGCACTTTACAGTGTGTTTACAGGGTCAAAGTGGCGCTACGTCTGAAAGGTACACGCACGCGTGCATGTTGTTGTAATTCAGGTTTCCATACAAATTTGAAAATAATGAAAAAAAAAATATATATACAAATAAACGAAAGATCTAGTTGAAGCTTACAGAAATTTCTGTGGAAGTTTTCGAAAGGATAACTCCTCTTTTGTCTTAAATTCTCGTGCTGCAAGCTCTGAACTTATCTTTGACAGTCCGCCCACAAAACTTGCATCTAGGCATTTGTTAGCGCATTAGTGGGCTCCAAGAGCCGGGACGCCGGGGCTATAAACAATCTAGGATGCATATCAATGTCAGTTCCACTCGTTTTTCTTCAGTACTTTGCTGAATGTTCAACGCGTAGGCCACCTAAACTATATCATGTGTGCGGAATTATTGATAGCCCACTCTACAGATATGTCGAAGACGGATTTAGAAATTATTGAAATCCCCCTTTAGAATGTCACAATAAGCTTTTAAAACCCATTCACGGCACCTCGAGAAAACGAGGTTGGTATTTTGATGTAAAAACTAGATCTGAGCAAACCAGGCAAGCAGTAAGGAAATAAATTTACTACCTTAGCAATGTTAAAAATAGCTCTTACGTCATTCGGGATTATGCAATAGGCGAAACAGGTCAATGGTTACAGTTCAACCACAGTTTCCTCCTCAGGTCGGATCGTTACATACGGTCTATTATTCCACGCTGGCCAGGAGGTCCTCCCGCCGCTGTTAAAGGAGTCCTTTGGCGATAGCCTATCAGTAACAGCCAAGCCGTCTGATTGGTCCTCAGGCTCCATCATCACCGGGCCGAAACTTGTATCCATGATGGTGCCCTCCTCGTCCTCGCTGTTGCTATGCACTGTACCATCTGCCGTCAGCAGGACGTCGGGCGGGACGCCACGCGTGGGGAACATCTCGGCAAGGACCTGGTAGTTTCCCCGGCCGACCGCGCTCTTGTTCCGGTTGTTCTTGTTTTTGTTCCGGTTTTGGGATCTCTTACCAGAGCGGCTGGCCGGTTTCTCCTTCTCTTTGGGGCCGAGTTCCAGCGTGATCGTCTTATTAGCGTCGGGATCGTTCTCTTGGAACACCCAACCAGCACCAGTACCAACTGGGGAATTTTCGGTGTCCAACTCCCCGTAATATTCCTGAAGATGCAGAACTTTCTCGTAGTTAGACCTCGACACAAAAATAAGAAAATTATAATTAGGCCAAGCTAACTTATCTAGTGTGCTTTTTTCTGCAGTGCAAAAATATAGAAAATTACTCATTTCACAATATACATTCTGCACTTGTGTTTGAAGGAGAAGATAAAATTTGAAAGAGTCCCTTTAAACCTTCATCCAATGCTCAGAAAAAAAACAGAAATCATGAACTCGTCATTTTCGACTTTGTGGGACCCCGTTCCATTTCCCATTCTGAGTCCGTATGGGATTTCACTAGTGTGAACAAATATTACGATTTTATCGGAAATGACAGAAATACAAACAAACTGAGCTCGACCTTATAATGATGGGAGTTGGTATTATTGGGTTCGGAGAATATAATTACAGGAGAATCCGCGGATAGTGTGGATTGGAAAGACACACAAGAACTACAAGCACTTAACATCAGCATCATTTGCTGGGGGCTTGCAGATTGACCCCACTTTGACCTCAGCGATTCTCAGAGTTGTTTTGACAAGGTGGAACGCCCCTGGGAAATCACTGGAAGACTAAAAAATGTCAAAACAGGGATGTGTTTTTCACGCACCATTTAGGGAGACAACTGGCGCTGTTATGGACGAAAACGACGCTGTTATTTTCTTTTACACAGATAAATTCCCTTTTAGCCAGAAGAGCCAGTACTGCTTGATAATTCCGGATTTGTGATAACTTCGAACAACCAACTAGACATTTACCATTTTTTTCATTCTGTGAGAAAAGCGAATGTTTTTACACGATTTCGTGTAGTGATTGAACTTATAACTATCCAATGGACATCTGTTTAAATTTCAGATGGGCAACTGGTTTTACCGCTTCAGTGAAAAGGTCACAGACATGACCCAGAGAGATCATTGTTTTGTCGAGACCGTCGGTTTTGACGCGTCTCAAGGTTATACTATTGATGCGATTCCAATCTCCAACAATACACACTCAGTCTAAACTAAGCTTGTGTTTGCTTTTATCCACCTCTATGAGCTATACCGTGAAAACATATTTAAATGCAGTGTCACGCTCCCAATAAATCATATCACGTGACCAGAAATAACATTCGGTTTAGGCGGCCTACATGAGGTCATGTGTATATTCAACACGACCCGACCAACGCATTCTATGCTGAGCGCAATCGAACAACAGTAAAACCAACAATAAATATTGTGCGGTTGGGTATGTCTGAATTATGCCATATTCAGTATTGACAAGGACTTGTGCAGTCTGAATTCTTCATATACTTTCAATGGTGGACGTACCGACACGAAGAGATCTTCGCAAGCTCTTCAATTATAGTTCTTTTCATGTGTCTTACACAAAATTAAAGTAAAATTTCGTTTTCGAAAATTTGCGATGGGAACTTTGAGAATTACAGTTGCAAATTATACTAAGACATTCAAGGTGGGAAGCAATAGGCGAATTACATGTATCTATAAAGCACAATCTGTTTTACATTTGGATTTCTTATTTCCCCTGCTGATGTCACATTTTGTGCAGATGCATCATGGGTACCAAGCATTCTGCTCATGATGGTAACAGCCTGTTTCCTATCGTGAGCACCGTTGGAGCAAAACATCACCTGACATGTAACTTGATGCATTACCTCCGCTCCTATCAAATGTTACACGCCTGAAAAACTTATCCAGGGTCCCTCTTCGTATTGGTGTCAGGATGTTGATGGACTGACACCTTTGGCAAAATATTTGTTTACACCGGCCTCTAAAATTAATGAGTCATTGCCGACTGAATGAGCCATTACTTTACGGAGAAGCGATCAAAATAAGATACGTAAAAGAGAAATGAGTCGCAGCGCCAGCATGAATGATTAACCCCAGCTCTATCCCTAAACGTGTACCACCCCAAACCTCTAGCACACAACGCCAATTGTAACCCTATAATCTGTGACATCAAAATACAACTGTAGGTACTTGAAGCAAGCAGGAATCCGGGGAGGGGGCAATCTTGCTGCTCCGATGCCTCTCCCCCAAAACAGAAAAAAAATAATGACATACGGTAACGGTAAAACAATCGGACATAGCAAATCGGATTACCCTGACCCCCTGGGAAAATAATTCCAGGGCCGCCCCTGTGTAGGTTTTGCTCAAGCAGACGCTGAACCCAATTTCATTCTTGACCGAAATCTGAGTCATAATTGCCCCACGTTTCCAACACGTTAACATTTTTAGCATGATGTTTACGAAACAGATCGGCCGATTTTGTCTGCCCAGATTTCGGACAAATTTTCCTCAACAGACCAATAGGCCTACGTCAAAAATTTCCAAAGTGGCAAAACAAAACCAGATTGCAATTTAAAATACCCCTCCACGCCTTTGGAACCGTATTCCAGGATAATTCATGACAATTTGAACGGCTGTATTTTGAGAACACCGCATGCAGTGCGAAAACACCTCAAGGGTCCACCGACCTGAAAATAAGAAATTAAATTAGTGATGACGTGAGGGGGTGACGCTACGTCAGAAGCAATGTAATTCTCTTTTGAAAGTCAAGATGGAAATCGTCCTGTACATTCGTGGCCTCTCCTGCATCCGGTGGCTTTAGTTTGAGCCTGGATTTGCGGTTATGGACAATGATTTCGGTGGTTTTGATTGTTTGAGCCGGAGGCATTGACATGATTTGGTACACATCTACTCCATAATTATCTACATGACTGGCAACGTAAACCGACAGTGTAAATAAAGAAATGGAGTCAATACCCATCTAGAATTTTCCCTGTTTTTCTTTGAAAAAAAAAAAAGACTAAACCTGATAAGCATGTTCGCTTTACTCCCGCGGCTGTCAATAACTTTGCCTTGTCAGCAATTCTAGATTTTTGTTAAATGATGTGGACTTTGTTATTTACCCTGCGCTTTGCAAACAAAGACACACATTTATAATGAAACATGAAGCGACGCATTTGTAATACAATGAAGCACTGCATTGACGGGAATGGGGAAAAAACTTAAAGGTGAATCCACATTGTTCAATCAAGTTAATTTAGGGTGGAAATCTCCTTGTCAAAGCTTTTATTAACAATGGGACAAACCACCAGTCGAGTTGAATTAGAGAAATCGGAAGAAAAGACTAGTTTCAAATTAACCAAAATTGTCAAAACATTATGCTCGTTCAATTTCGAGAGCCGTTCTGGGAATGTCTATACGCAGACAGATTGATTTTGAACTTACTTCTTCTTCTTCTTGAAGTTGTAGTATCGACTGTTTGCCTTCTGTTTTCTCTTTTTGGCTACTCGATACACAATGACGAAGATGATGAAGATAGCCACCAAGGCCACGCCGATAGAACCACCGATGATGAGAAGAAGTTTCTTGAGTTCATCTAAAAAGTTGAGAAAATCTACTAGTTTTTACAATACTGGTAATCTGTGTTAAGACTGTCTCCAACATTTGCCATTTCTGTTTCAAAAAACACACAAAAAAACACCTCTGCTTACAATACTAGAGGTGAACTATATAACTTTTAAAATGGTTAATTTGTCATTTGAAGTACCACATCAACTGCAACTGAAAGGCGTTATTGCGGACGTAGTCGAAATCATACTGACCTCTCTCGTGATCCGGATCCAGACCAGGACCGCCGCCTATTACCGTGGTTACATTTAACGTTACATACACGGTCATTTCTTCCCCGTCCGTAATATTTGCAACTGCCGTTTCGGTGGCGACAATTTCACTTGCTTCATACAGGGTGGACGTCATATTTTGTGGCGGCGAAGTCAGCAGCTTAACTGACCCGGAAGTAGTTCCGGGCTGTATAGTCTGGTTCCCTTGCTCCATGGTGGTATTGTGAGCCGTTTGTGATGTGCGAGCAGGTGCCCCGGTGATATTGTGGACAACATATCCGGCAGGTGTCACAGTTTTTGAGGTGGTCGAATTCGTAGTGTTTGGAGGAGTGGAGGCTGTTCTCGTAAGCTCAACAGTTGTTGTCAGTCTTTCGACGGTCGTTGGAAGGTTTTGTGTCACCGGTAACCTAGTTGTTGGTGAACCAGTCGTAGGTTTTGGTGGAGTCGTGTTTGATGATAAACCTTCTGTTAGCCCCAAGTTTTGGGGGGTAGTACTCTCTGGATCAGAGTCATTTTGTGCTGGGCTCGTCACAGAAAGATTGCCGGTCACGGAGTTTGCCATTTCGGGTTTCAGTGTTCCTTGATGTGTCGACTCGTTTGTGTTTGATGATAAAGTGATGGTATTCAGGGCTACAGCAGTAGTGTCGGCCGATACGTGTACCATAAAATAAGCACCTGGGATGTCCGAAATGAGAGAAAAAATCGACAAAACTTTATAATCAGATAAGCGCTACACAATATAGTGGACACTGTAAACAATTTCAAATTGCCGTGAGAAAGGAAACTGATTTGTTTTTCCATACTCTGACTCCAACAATGTTCCTAAATCACTTTATTTAGATTCAACGTCGACAGATAACTGACAAGGCGTTACCATGGCAACGGTAACGACAGAGCGTTACATGCAACTGTCCCTGCCTGGTGAACTTTTGATAAGTAACAAGGTTGGAAAGGACACACCAAGGTTATCTTATCAAAACATTCTTGCGCAAACAGGCTTGTCGCCTTTCAAAGCAAAAGATCGCTTTCGACAACAATGCATTTTCGACCTTTGACACTCAGTTAATGACCTTGTGCTTTCCAAGCGACTACATTACTTGATACACAGAGATAACAGGATAAATTAGTGACCAACAAACAAATTGTCAAAATTATCTGTCATGAAAAAGTAGGAAAAGATTTGCATAAACTAAAAAATTCTGTAGGAAGGCAAAATAAAATTATGACTATTAACCAACCAAAGCTCAACGTAACTGTGAAAATTATCGTTGTGCACAAATCAAGTTAATTTACACTGTTCTGGCCAGCCACCCATTGTGACTTAAGGTCCGATCTGAAAATGTTTAACTTGCCCAAAAGGTGGCTCCCAGAATGACACTGTGCTGCAATACAAGTCCTAAAACCTGACTCAAATGGGGCGCCAGAAAATTAAATTAATCTATTTATGTTCACAATGCCTTTCTTAATTCGAAGTTACCCTCGATATCAGCTTATTTAACCACGATTGTGTAGTTCGATCCAATAACGAGGCCAAGTCGTTGCGTTATCTTCAGGAAGACATTGAACCAGCAATTTCCCCCTTTGACATCTTAAGTCAGGAAGATTCTCATTAATTAATCAGAGATGATTTCCTTGTTACAGCTTGGTCGGGCAAGAACTAATCTCTCGCCGTCCACATATATTACCGGTACCTAAACTTTCGGCACAAATATCAGGTGTGTATACTGTTTGTCAGTCCTGAAAACGGTTACATGGGTTCATATTTGCACTAGGAATTACATGTAGATGAATTGGGGCAAGGGAGTATAGCTTAATGTGTTACCTTGAAGTATCAGACATTGTGGGTGCCTATGTAATTAAACACCGACAGCATTTTTTTTATCATCACTGGCAGGTAAAGGGGACCATTTTGTCATCTGACCAACTTGGTACACCAATAAATTCAGCCCTTTTGAGGTTTTGTTGGCAGGGGAAAGGAACTAGGTGGTGGGAACTGGCTCTTCATTTTCTTCAAATGTGATATTTCCCAAATGTTGAGTAACTCCACCATTTGAGTGACAACACACTGATCTACAAACGAAAATATTTAAGTTTCAATTTGAAGAGGTAGTCCCTATACCTTGTAATAAACCGGACATAAAATTCAATTAGCTGAGCGCCAAGAGACCGCGGACCGGTGATTCCCATGACTGAATTTCTACTAGTACGGTTCCACTTCAACAAAGCTAATTCTCCGATGAAACATCTCTCTGTTTTCTCTCTTGACGATACGGTAGCTGATTTACTCCCGGTAGCAAACCAATTTTCTGTCCTTTTGTCGCATGATTTTGCCTAGGGGAACTTCCCTCTGGTGCGAATGTACATTGTAAAATAAACTACAAGAAGGGTTGCCACTTTGATGAAAAACGCGGGCAAAAATAATTGTGTTTGACGCTGCAGCCGATGAATTGTTTCGCGCGGGATTCTTTTAGGTTGAAAGGTTGCGACTTTTTCCTGGACTCTGCCCAAAAGCACAAGTGCAAATATGACACTAAGGACGAGCTGAGGAGGTAGAGAATTCCTATCTAGAAAAAACCATGATTCTTGATTGAGTACATATGCTCGTTGGTATTGCTTACCATTGTGTCGGTTTCATTCTATGGAGCTGCTTAACGGCACGGTGAATTAACAAGATGTGACTTCAATTCGAAGCAGTAATAAAGCTGTAATAGTTTCCAACATCGAACAAAGTGAGGAATGTTGACCAAATTAGTACTTACAGGTCCAGAGAGCTAGTGCACATGCCGAGGCAATCCCCGAGTGCTCCTGCCGATACAGTCTGCGTGCACGCTGCTCCATCGCTGTCTCTCCGGCTTCGCGTACAGTCCGAGTCACAGGGATTTCAACGTCAACTTCACCTTAACCTTATTCATGACAGGCATGCTGTGCGTATGCAAGTCATCACAGGGCCAGTTTAGTACCGGGTGCTGGAAAGTCCTTGGACCCTTGCGAGACTACCGTGCAGACTGGCACAACCGCAACCACTCGTCATCCCTCCACCCAGTCTACGTGGGTACTTGTTCAATACCCGGGCACCGACCGACAAGTCTGTGTCAACATTTCCCAGTTTTCAATCAGCCATTCATATATTTTTAGGCTGCTGCAGGTACAACAATGGATGCGTACAATTCGGCTCCCGCGCTGCATGTGTGTAGTTACATCTGAGCGCTGAATTACCTCAGGTGAGGCTGGGTCTGTTACAAGCGCAGGAACAGGTAACCCGGCTGAACTCAGTGCAAAGTGCTCTTTCAGAGCTTTGCTGATCCCGCAAAACGTGCAGATCGTGCCAGCAGTACCGCGTATCAGAACGGACTGACCGAACTGCACGATGCAGACATTGCATTCGATACTTTTGTTTCACTCGTCATGTTCAACTTTAGTCATGTTGTCGGATCTCTGTGCTTGCCTGGCACGAAATTGGATTACGCCACTGACGCAGGATTCCAGGTGGGTCAGTGAGACGGAATTCGTTCATCGACATGAGACCACCACAGCTGCTTGGTCTTGCATATGGGGCCAATTCAATTTGTGTTCTCAGTCGGGCACAGTTATTAAACTGGCATCCGGCACCCAGAGCATACATGGGCTGACTTCACCTTATGGTGGCCTCAACAATGCCATAAACATTGTTTGGATTTAGATTTAACTAAACATTTACTCCCGGATGGCAGTGGATATTTGTCGAATTATACAGGTCGATAAACGGATGATTTTCACAAAATACAAAAGTAATGATTATTGAAGTAATACACAAATGCGAAAAAAGGGGCAACACGGAGGCATAGTCAGAAGGCAGGGTCTCATGCATGAACAAACTCAAAATAAACTCTGTATCGTTATAAAAAAAGCCTGCTTGACTAAATCTCGACACCACCACCAAGTTCAGAGATTTCTCGTGACCTGTGCTATGGAATTTCCATGTGCCGTGCGGCCGTACGGTGGCATTACTTAGCACAGAACCAAAATGACAATCAAACAATCTGACGAACTTGAAGAACGTAGGGGGCTAAAACGTAACGTCTATCGCCATTACCAAATACTCGTTCACTGTGATATAATTCAGCTGTTTTTATACTTTCAAATTGTCCTGAATGGCCTTTAACCTTAACCTTTCAACATACGTGCTGCATCACATCCACGCAGCTACTGTGTTGAGAAGAAAACCCTAACATAAATCGAGGCGATGCTAGATCAAGCCGAGACTTACAACCCATGGGAATTGTGTTGGTGTTGCAAACAGCTGGGAATGCGTCTCTGTGTCTCGTCTGCAAACTTTGAAGATGCTATGTGGTATCGCCGGTCGACCTGCACGTCACGTCAATCATGCCACATTCTTGATGATGTTGAAATGTTCAAGTTATAGTGCCAGTATTGTGTGAGCGAGGTTATCTAAAATGAACATTCAAGCGTTCATGAAGTAATGAACTTGCCAGTGACGCATCAAACGAAAAAAAAATCTGCCCACGCTGATGAACACCAAACAGGCCTATGTAATGATGACATCACACTTTGTTTTCACGAATGCTTTTCTTTTGTGTTTCGAATCTATTGCCCTGGACTTCAGGAGAAAGTAGCAGTGTATAGTAATGACAAAATATTAAAAAAAAGTAGTGAATTTCAGTTTGCAAAATATCTACTCCAACTTCAAATTCTAAATTTCTTCGTGAAATTAACCTGGTACATTTTTTTCAGAAAAGCTCCATCCTTGATAATGTTTCATTCCAAAACATGGGAACCGTCTGAAAGTTTTTCCCGGATTATTTTTTTTTATTGCAAGCATTTTCAAGTTAAGTTCATACCTACCAGTGAATTATAATAGTTTGTACTCTGCGTGATATACATAAATATCAAAATGAAAATTACAACTTACAGCTTTACACAAAATCAGCTCCTGTTTGAAAAAAGTCATGAGAACTTACAAAACCAATTGGTGTATCAAAATATCGAGTTATATTGTAGGCAATGGCATACTTGCACTCTAGGAGCAATGTGCATTCCAAATGATCAATGTTAATCATATTCATGTAAAAGCCTTCTGATTCAATATTCAAACAATTCACCATATCACCGAATTCGAATTTAAAAGAGGAACCACACGATTTCTCAAAAGCGTATAAATTTTGTATTCCATTTCATTAAAACAATTGTGTAAAGAGTCCACAGTCGGGATATAGTTTTAAAAGGGTTCAATAATTGATCTGACTCAATTAAATTAAAAAAAAAAATGAGAGAGCAACATTTTTAGGGAGACAATATTTTTGTAAACATTATAAAAATTTACAGACAATTCAGAATAATGGTGGGATACCCATAGATTTTCATGTCGGTAACAAACGTTTCCATTGTGTCAACTCCTCTTAATCACCAAATCTACACATCCGAGTAACAGAAACAAAACTTTAAGGTAAAAACTGAGGACACAGCAACGGAAACCTTGAAATCACCGTCGCTAAAAATCTCACAGGCTTAGTGCCAGTTGGGACTGCACAGGTTTAGCGCACACGCGGTATAGACCTTGTTGGGTCACAGGGCGAGAAAAGTCCCATGTCTTAATCTGGGTATATGAGATTGTGCATGCAGTTGAATCCTCTGTTACAAGATCTTCTTGAGTAATCAAATCTCTGGTGGTTGCGTCGAGGGGCGGACTTTTGCGGCTCCACATTTGATGTCCTGACCCCTTTCTCACATAGAGTCTATTGTTTCAAGGGCCCCCTCGATGTCGTTACTCGTGTACGACACTCCACTCTGAGGCCTCAGGTTGGCCCCCTTCCTGTCTGCATATTTCTTGTCATCATGATGAGCGCCATCAGTTGGACCCTCGTTGCTCAGCTGAACTTGAGATGGCAAGGTGGCCGTGTTGCTCTGGTCTCCCGCACCAGCCGTCTTTTCGGTCGGCTCTCCTGCATCGCCGTTAGGGCCAAGGGCGTAGGTGGGATTCTCGATCCCATCCACGTGGCTGTCTGGGCTGGCGGCTCCTGTGATGAAGGTGACGAAGGCTAGGTCACCCTCGGCGTTGACGGTGGCAGAGTTGGGCCGGTGCATGGACATACGCTCCTTAGGGTCCAACTTGTCCATTTCGTCCTGAGCGAAGGGGTTTCTGGCACCGCGCCTACGTTTTGACTTGCCACTGGATTTGCTGAGGAATAAAATTGAAGTTAAAAAAAAATGTAAGTAAATTTAAGGTAATTTTGTCCTGAACGAACGTTCCTTATCATAATTTGACATCTCACAGATTACAATTGCTAATATGCCTGTTTCTCTGGGCTTTTAGAAAGTTCAACCTTTCAGTTTAATACTTCCTTTAATTTTGTTTCGTTTTATGTCGTTTTGCTTGGGATGGATGGGTGGTTGTTTGCTGTGGTAAACTGTTGCGTTACGATTACAAAATCTTTCAATGTCGGCATATGCCATGATGAAAGCAGACTCAACCTTCGACGCAATATGGCGCCCTCTGCTGATCAAGTATTCTAAAATGTCATACTACAATAATTTCCCTCTTTTTATACTAAAACCTCAGCTCCCCCCCCCCCATTTTAGCGTTGAGCTTCACCGTCATTAATTAGAGTGGATTTCCTTTTTGGCAGTGTACCCTTCAGTTGAAATCAGATTATTTTTTGTGCAACAGAAACATTAACAACTTGACCCATGCGTTCCGCTCTTCCGGATCCAACTGTGAATGTTTGGAAAAATCCAAGCTCATGAAATGGGGTCGATTAAGAGACAGAGCTGACATTTGGAAAATGATCGATTCCTCTATATTCATTAGGAAAGGAGCGAGGATAACAGCTATTGAAGTATGGCAGACACGTACAGTAACTGCTTAATGGAGGTGGATTTGGGAGTTTGTGGTCAATATCATAGAGTTTATTACGCAAAACAAAGAGCGCCCTCCGTCTATTGGGATTGCCAAACAGGTTATAAATGCGCCATTAGATTGCCTTCATGAAGTGGCCGTAACATTTTAATATGGAAGTTATCTGTCCTGATGTACTGACGTTGTAAACCTTACCGACGTAGGCACCAGACGCTGAGCGCGAAGATGACTACTAGCACGAAGAGGCCCCCCACGACACCAATGGCGATGTACACGGCTAGGCTAACGCGTTCAGGCCCTGGTGCTGTGAAGAGAAGAAACCAATGTCAAGTTATCTTGTCATTCAGGAGGAAAAAGTTTGTCCAAAGCAAAATAACACAAGCATGGTTTCTTGGCACCATAGTTTTGTTTGCCAAAACTGACATACATGCTTGGTCGCTGTTTTAATTAGTTCCCAAATCGACTGAAGTAACTTCTAGCTGTCACAAAGGCATTGCCATTAAAAAGAGGTCTTTTACAAAGAAAGGAAATGACATTACTTTGAAAAATGCTTGTGGAAAGACCAAAGTACTAGTACCCTCAAGTCTTGAAACGAGTACTTAAGCTTGCTACCAAAAATAACTACTTTAGGGTGGGAAAATATTCCCTGTTATATTACCCTCCTTTGTTCCTCTGGACGTTGTCAGCTCGCCAATCAAACCCGACGTCATCATTTGCGTCGTTGATGACATTGAACTTGTAGTTCCAGACAATATTGTAGTTGTACCACCGTCGTCACCCTTGTTGGTCTGTGACTGAGTCGACATTTGGCTCTCTGACGTTGGTGTCACTGTCGACAGAGTCGGAACCATAGTAACTGTCGACACTGTCTCCGTTGGAAGTTCCGTTGTCGTCGCACTTGTCTCTGTCAATCCGGTTGAATTAGTCAACGAATTAGCCAGTGTTGTCGACACTTGTGTTGGCATAGTTTGGTTGTCGACATCTGTCTGATCAGTCGAGCTTGGTGACGTCATTTCGCTTGCTCCCTCGGTGGAAGCGGGCGACGTTGACAGGCTGCCGTTCACTGTGGTACTTGTGTCAGTTGTCGCAAGTAGCGACTGGACGGAGAGACTAAGTAACACAGCTTGGGCTATCATTGCCATTTTATATCTAAATGATCAAATTAAGAAAATGAACGATCGTGTAGCCGTGGATAAATATATCAGTATGGTTTTAATTGCAGGGTGATTCCCTGTATTGGAGAGGGTGAGGGTGCGACCGACAATATTGCTGCTCACTCAAACAATAATATCATAGTTCCGTTTTCTCTAAAAAGATCACGCACAGGAAACAGTCGTGGTCAACAATGTAAAAGCACTGTCATGTTTTGTTCGAAACAAAGCATGTTGATCAAAGATTGACATTATGTGTATAAAGGTAACAGCATGCATAAATGTATCATCCGACTGAGGGACTGAACAAATAATGGTGTGAAAACTGATTTTTCTGATCGATTGATTGAATTGATAGACTAAACTGTGATGATTGATTGATTATATTAGCTTTCGATCATTCACCAATCTGTTTTGTTTGAATGTTAAAGGGCTATGCACTTTTCATCTCAAGTGGACGCAGAGTCACCGTACAGGAACAACATCGAGGCTGCACTTGCAAGACCATGACTCTTAAGAAATCAAGAGCCGGTCGTTTTGCCTCTTTGCTATTCTACCTAAAATATTTCAATCATATGATTCAATCAAGAGAAATCTATATACAATATGTCCAGTATTTACAAAATGTCTCTTTCTCACTTGATATAACCCCTTCAATGCTACCAACTTAAGTTGATGTAAAAATAGCAGCGAGATATAAGCTACGCATAATACGAATGACTGCACCGTTTGACCTGTTGACAACATGCGGGTAGACCATCATCATCGTGCGAACAAACCCGGAAGCTGGCTCCTGCGGTAATGTTACCTAGCTTTTGGTGTTTCATTACAAACACAGAGTTGCCTATTCGTTCAACAGAGTGTCACTTACCATAGCTCATATTAAATTGACGTTGGTCGCTAGAAAAAAAGCAGTAAAATGGAGTGATTATATCGGTGAGAATTGAAAAATCTTTTACCTTTGCTACTTGTCACTTGTACAGGTGGATGAAGAGAATGACGATGAGCTTATGCGCTACAACTGTACACCTCTGATTTCCTGGTTTGCTAAATCCCGTCATTATAAGTAAGAACGAACTTGCAAAACACCCTCGTCTAATTCGCATTTGACAGTAGGTACACGTACTAGCCTGACCTAATGCGCTTGTGAAAGAGATTTACGTTAAGTCATACCCACTCACACTTTCCCAAGCTATGCTGCTCACAGTAGCGCCACCAAAGCTCAGTCAAATGCGGAAACGTAAAGTTAAAAACACATTCCTTTGTTGTTGGTGCCTTTTGTGCTATTCTGTGGTCGTCGATTGTGATAGGAAAGAGAAAATGTCCGATTACAAAGAAAGAGAAACAAATAAGGCCCAGGGTGAAAGCCTTAACTTGTCTTGCACAGGTATACACATGCGCGAGACACAACACAACGAACTTCTGTTCGGGAAATGATTTGCTTTTGTGGAAAGGGTTGAGGAATGCCACTTTTTTTCAACTGTCTCCATGTTGACGCTGTCAAGTCCCTATCATGGTTAGAATATAACAGTTGCAAAGTGCCTGAGTCGACACTGAGCTCAAATTGTAGCCCATTCGTGTTCATTCCAAGAAAATTGAAACTTTTCTAGCAGCGGTTTTGTGGAAGACTTTTGTCAATGAATTCCAAAGTGTTGACAAAAGTGCATGGTGGTCCCTTCTAGTTCGAAATATTACAAGGAAAAAGACAAAAATGGTGAGAATTATAACTCCCGGAAACTGGACAAATATGAGCGAGTCTCTTGTTAATACGATCTGCTAACTAATATTCTTGAAAGGGAGAAAGGGAACAAGAACATTTAATTCTTGTTTAAACTTGTCCTTTGTTCTTAATTTTATTCAGTAATAAGAAAAGCCATTTCCACAAAATACTGAAATACTTATAAAGAAAACCAAAACTATTTCTTCGAACAAGGAGATGAACGAAAAATTATTAGAATTTTTAAATTTTTATTTGTAAAAGGGTTCAGCCTGTTTTTATAAACATGATACTGAGATTCGAAACTAAAAGTGATGATTTTCCTCATCTCAAAACTTCACGGGGAAATAATTATTACGCGTGTTAAGGCATGGGTTTCCATTGACATATTCTTATAATCCCGGTTTACGTGAAAGCAAAGGCCACAAAGGAAGGACAGAATTGACTGAGACTCGTCAAAGTACAGATAGGCAGACAAATATACAGGTAGCTGTTGCTGACAGGTGTTAAAACACGTTTAAGAAGGAAACGAAAGGTTTAGATGTACATGTAACACTGCCTGACTGACTTTCTACAATGATTAAAACTAATACGCGTGATATGATACATTCCAGAGCGTCAAAACGGGGTGTATTCAAACGGTATGTATTTACAAAATATGTTCAACTGGAACTCTTCCCAGGGCTATAGGAATCGTTGGAATCTATCAGCAAATCCAGTTTAGTTTCATTAAAAAGAAAAAGGGAAAGCTTTTCGCGATTAAAGGGAGTAAAATTTCCGGGCATGACTCGACCCGACATCCACGTCATGAGGGATGGTGGTCGGGGTAAAGACTTGGCCCGAAACTGACAATTCTCGACTGTCTTTGGTGGATATCTTGTCACTTTTTTGCAGTTGGAGTAAATGTATGATCATATAATTTTTTTCTTAACTGGTTTAGGAATAGATTTTCCCTAAATTACAGCTCCCCACTAAAGCAGGGATAGAAATTGTTGAAGTCTACATGCTTTTGAAAAAGATTCTGCTAGGATTGAAACGTAAACGTCAGGTCCTTGAACTTTTGTATAGGCCACTGTGGTCAGCCAACAGTTTGCAGTACTATTTGTGATTTAGTATTTGCGATTTATTTGATTGGGATGGGAATTTTTCAGCAGCATGCAGGAATGTACAAAGTCCACTCTGCCACTTTTAACAAGTTTAAACTTGTGTTGCCATTTTAAACAGCATTCATTAAGTATAATACAAAAAATTTGGTTTTCACATACTTCCGTATTTACATATTTAAGCTTTTGTTCCCTCAAAAATGGGGGGGGGGTGCTGGTTGCCGACTACACTGAGTGCACACGCTGCCTAGACTTAAATCCAGCCGCCGCTTTGCTGCAGCCGAAGCCTTTAAAGGCGTTACTTAAGCCAAAGCGTCCGCCAGTAGAGTCAAAGCTACTGATATCGGAGGTGCGCTCGTAGATAATGTTCTCAACCCAGCCGCTATCATTTTGACTGACACTCCCCTCGTCACTGAGGCTAGGGTAAAGTTTATTGATCGAGGAAGCGGTGATATGAGACCCCCCGGCAAGCGTGTTGTCGCTGCCACTACTGCTTTCACTGCTGCTGCAGATGTCCCAGGTCCCTGTGCAGGTCGTGGTCATTGTCGTACAATTACCGATTCCAGGGTCCGACATGTCGCCATCCAGGTCCAGGTCTGCATCCGTGATCTCGGCGTAGATGCTGGAGTGGAGACTATCACGCATGCTCAGTCGGGACAGGCAGCTCGACAGGCTCTGGATGCGAGAGAAGCTGGTGTGACGGTTGTGGTAGATCAGGCGGGGGTGAGGGCGTTCTTTCATGATGGCCATGGCGGACACGGAGGTCGTTTGGTTGTACGCCTCTTTGCCTTTGATTTCTTCGTAGTCGTGGCTGAAGTTAAATCTGCGGAATCTACAACACAAGGTTTGAAACGCCTCTCATTCTGGGTCGTATTGTGAGAGAATTTCTCGATTTTAAAATAAACTAATCACAAAAAGACTGTAACAATCTAGGCATCATTATTACGAAGCCGGGAAAGACAGAAAAAGGCTATCATTCAAGTGGAAAGGTGAACATTTAGAGAAACTGTACATTGACTATTATCGGCCCAGTGACTGTGTAGTTACGATTTGTTAAAGAGAGTTTTCATGAGACTTGGAAGATACACATATTCCAATGGTGAAAGGTCAAGTTCCTACAACTTTCCATCAGGATAAAAGGTTAGTTATAAGTACTCAAGGCTGACCAAGGTAGCAGAACAGCGGATATAGAATCAAGTACCGTCTCTTATTTCTTGTGAGGGACAGAAAGACAATCATAAAGATGACCAACACGATGACAAGCAAGCTTGATGACGTCAGCGCCAGGACAAAACACAGAGAGACGCCCTCATCGTCCGAACCTGCATAGGAACCAATAGTCAAAGCGTCTCCCATTCAAAGACAGACAGGTGGCAGTAAATGATCTGATCACTAGAAATACGGGGATTGGAGGAGCTGCAAATAGACACTGTGTTACAGACCATATTTTACATGATCCGCCTTGAGCAGAAGCACCCCTCGTCCGTTGAAAAAGAGCCATGCTGGTCGGGAGTGTTGACTGCAACGCCTACATTTCAAAGTCGTTTGAGAAACAGCGAAGTGCTGTTCCTAAAGGAGCCGATTATTAGGATAACTGCGCCCTCTCTTGATTGCGCTTGGGGCTCATAGTGGCAACAAGCTCTCAAACTTGATTGCATGTAAGCCTGGGTTAGGTAAGAACAAGGTCCAGTTGAGTTGGTAGACGAGGCAGTCACTACTTATAAAACGGTCATGAAAGCATGCATGTTTTTTACCCGCCATTCCTTCCTGCGAGGCGCCCTCTGTGTGGGATGGCCGGCCCCCTACATCTTGTGACGTCAGACTAGGCCATAATGTAAGGGCATCGTTTGCCCCGCCTTCTTGGCGACCGCCCAGTGCATTTTGCTGTGCTGAATCTGCAGGGATGAGAGAAAAAACGAGCAATTGCCTCTGAGATGATGTACCTAAAACATTAAGCTCTCAATCCCAGCGTCTGCACCATTGCTCCTAACTAGCAAGAGGAAAATTGTTGGTAAACTGTACCGAATTTGTAAATGAAAATACAACTTATACCTCTCTCTACAATTCATTCTCAACATCAAAGAACGGAAGCTTTGAGTAACGTCTTCGAGCGAGAAAATCTTTAGGGCATGTTTGACCCTTAACTTTTGATGGTCAGCTGTCACTTACCATTGACGCTTGTTTGAGGTTGGACTGGATACGCATTTAACGTGAGGATGATGTCATCAACTGCTATGATGCTCCTCGTAAAGTACCCAACCTCTGCCTCTATCACCAACTATTCGTTAAATGAGAAAGTTATGTAAATTGCATGCAAGAACTTTAGAATACGTACCGTTTTTCAAAATAAATGTAATAATCTGGGCATTTCATTTGGAGATTGGGAAGACAAGAAATCTCAGACAATCGTTCTTGTTCACAGCTGAAACATCTCTCTGCCAGCGTATTGTACAGTGTATAAATAGTCATCTACATGTCTTTCTCCGTCCTACCTGAAATGGAGCAAATACGTCAATCCTTCCCTCCAGTGTCGTCCACGGCAACTCGGTCTTCAGCTCGCCGAGTATTCGAAAGAACGGTTGGTCGTCACGTCTACCTCCAAATATCTTGGTCGTAGCGTGCACGCTGATCCGAAGGCGGCTGCCATCCCCTTCGGTCTTGAAATGCTTAAACTGGAGACTAAGCAGAGACGGGGTCGTGACCTCGTAGACCGGCGAGACTAAACGAGCAAGGCTCCCCGGACGTAGACTGGTTGCGTTCCGGAAGGCACAAATGTAATTATCTTGAGACGAGGTGAATCAAAGTATAAATTTCAAATTTCAAATTACGACATGCCAGAATCATGCATAGGAAGGCATAACCGTACCGTACTGATGTGAGCTTGGCTTTGCATTTGAACGTTCGTGGGACGGAAGAACATAATTTGTGGCTCGACAAACTTGACTAAAACCTCGGATTATAAAAATTCGGCAAATTCTCTGACCGAATTAGCAGCTTATCGAAACTAAAGTCTCTGACCAAATGTGAATAAAACAAAACCTTTCGTATAGGCTCTCACTTTGGACAGCTTAGAACAAGGATTTTGTCCCGAAGGGAATTGGGATTTATAGACCATTTTGCCGTCCATTATTTTGTAGCAAGTTTTCTCCTTTTTTGGGCAGAAATCCATCCCAAGCCCCGAGAAGTCCTGGTCGGGAAATCGGGATCGTCCCTGTTGTTACCCTAGAGGATTATTTGGCGCCAAATATAGCCCTTCACTGTCAGGCTGGAGAGAGAGCTATTTTGGGGTCGGGCCAGACACAGTGACACATACTTGGTTTATATTGCAGAGTTTCCCAAACACCCTGGCTGGCCATCGACCAATCAAAATCATCGGTTGGGTCCTGCTTGTAGCCACAGAAGTTGTCCTCAAACTTGCAAGGTACAGTCTCTGCAGAGAGAGAATGGATGAGCTCTCTATAACTCGTTCTTTGTCTAGGATTTTGAATAGATTTTCTATAAGGTCGGGCGTGGAAACCCGTTGATTAGATTGACTCACCTGCGTTCAAGTATCGATCTGTGTCAAACCTGAAATTATCAATACTGAAAAACGTCGAGGAAGGGGGTAGGCGTTGTGAATTAGAGAAACCTTTAAACTATTAAAAAAAATCATTTTCCTTGGGTCGTGCACACCAAATGCTACATCTTGATCATACAAAATACTGTTTTTTCCTCCTTCTGTTTTTGATGCACATGCAACTCCGCAATCTTTTCCATAGTCTTCTATCATTGTAGATTTTCTTCGTGCCACGCACACAACTGATGTAAGCTTTGGCCTGTCTCAGTAATTCCTGCAGCGTCTCGTGGGACGAAGAAACCGGACGCTACCCTCTCTTCAACTTCCACTTTTATCGGCTGCTCTGTAAACTCCAATTAAAGTTGATTGGTGCACGTGACCCCAAAACGAAGCTTCACTGGAAGGGTGCTGGACCATCGGAAAGAATTAGTGCTGTAATATTTCGTATCATTAGCACATTTTCAACCCTGCTTACAGCTCTATCATCGATGTCAAGTCAATCGGAACTGAGTGATAAAGTTGATTTATTCCAGGGCACCAAATAGTTAATCAAACCAGTCCCACTGTTTTTCACTGAAAAAGTATCTCGCACAGTCATAAAACTGCATGAAAGGGCATTTTGTGTTATGTAAGTTATATTACGGTCACCTGCAGCTAAACTTTAGAGGTGGATGTAGTTTTTAATGAAAGCTGGGGCCTGGGAAACAGGGCCATGAGATATCAGAATTAAGAATAGGGTTAGATCTACGCTGGGATTACAAATTCTTCGAACTTGTGGGGTTATTCCCAACCACTTCCTCTAAGCATTCTTTTGAGTGGTATAAAATCTAAAGACCAAAGTTAGTCTTTACTGATTAAAGGGCAACAAGTGCCAGAAGTCAGATTTCCTTAGACAGAATGTGAAAGAACCTTGAATGTCTTTCGAGCGTTCAATTAATCTAACTTCCATCTGACGCCATCAGAAATCCTGAGGTTCACTCAAAAATTTTTCTCCAGTGGGACATAGTTGCTAATGGCTCGTTAGACACGCTGGCAAACCCAGCTAACCATCCAACCTTCATCCCTTGAAGTAAATCCACTAAAACTACAGGGCACACCGGAAACCCGGTCAAGTAACCACTATTTCATAAGACCCATTGTGCATGAAAATGACACCTGAATGTAATCTTCCCCTTTGTCAAACATACTACCTCAAACTGAAATAGGTCCAATCGGGTGACACGTGTAATAAATATCCCGAATGAAGGATGTTCTGCACAGCTTGCTTAAACTAAACCAACACACAAGCAACGGATTTTAAATGAAACTTAGAAATGCGACGGCATGGCTATTTTTGTTCCAAGATTCTATCAAGTAGGGAATAGCCCCTTCTGATACTGATCACATCTCCTGGGGACTGACTATCAGGCAAATTTCTGGGTAAGACGAGGACTTGACAAGTTTAGTGAAGTTTAGTTCCATTTCCTGTGATTCATGGTAGCGATTAGGACCGCCTTCCGCTGTAGCCAGCACATGAAGAAGGTAGACCCGACCAGTAGGAATATGCAAAGTTTCGTCTAAAAGACGATATGAACAACACATGATCATGATCACGAGACCACTTAACTTGAATTCCCTAAATTATCCATGCATAAAACATTCTTGTTTGTCTTGTTTGAAGTTGACACACTAACGAGGCTCGAAGACTTGTTAACTTTCTTCCATCATTTACACCAAGTGTTGGAAACTCCACAGAACATTTCCTGTTAAGGTTTATCTTGAAACACTACAGAAAATTCAACATGGACATATTTTAATTTAACTTTTGGCTGCTGGGGTTACTGATTGGACGGAGTCATGAACATGCCCCGAAAAATCGAAAGGCAGAAGATTTCATCGTTTTCTAGTTTATTCGAGCTAACAGTTGTAGAAATATTTGGTCACTCTTTGTCGACTGTAGAGGAAACCCCGAAGCCAAACAAATGCGTCACAAGACAAAGCTTGTGTGAAACACTCCTCTTTTGACTCAGAAATCACTTTCATGTTCTCTTGACAAATCCACCTGTTTAGCACTTATTCCGAGACCCCCTCTCGACTACAGGGTTCCTTTCTGTCAACCTGCCGGCATCGGGCCGAGTCACCCATCCCAGCAAGTCCAAGGTCAAGCCCAAATTATAATGAGATCGGTTTTTTTCCACAGTAGAGGGAAAAATGACCGAACAACCGGAAAGCATGACTCAATTCTTGTCACTAAGACCCTGCACACGTGTTCTCCCTCTCACGTGTGCCTACAAATCTTTTTCAACGGACCCCGAAGTTCCACACTGATCTTTAAACTTAATTTAATAAACGTGTATACACTTCAAACAGTCGTCACTGTCTCTTTAAAAACTTCACTACTTAAGAACAAAAAATAATTAAAAAAATGTTTAGAGGATATTACTCTCAAGGACGACAAACCTGAACCATTCGCCACCTGTGAACAGCAGAGGAGTGTAAATTCAAAACTGCTTTATGTGGAACAGTACAGACCGAGACACTTCGGTAAAATTTGAACGGATATCAAAACACATATCATGCATGACTGTCATAACGAATTGAATTGGTATTCCAAATGGCGATCACTGGTTCTTTCCGTTGAGATTTAGGGCCTCACGTTGGCAAAAATCCGCAGGAAATAGACCGTGGCAATCGGTGCCTTGGATTGTCGCAATGTGGGTGAGTTCGTCGATTTTTAATTATTGCAAGCAACTGAAAGGAAGAAAACACACTGCGCGGGGGGGGGGTTGATCAAGATAAAGAAGTCAATACTTCTTACCTTTATCGTTCAAAGTCAAACTACAGATGAAGGTACGACTGTACGGCTTACGGTAGGCGTCTTCTCTAAGCAGATTAAACCGTAATCATGCATGGTAATTTTTGAAACGGTAATTAAGCTTCGCATAATTCTTTGCACAAAAAATTAAGGTCGAGACTTTTTATAGTCGAACAAATTTGAGCATCTTTACTTTTTTTTTATTCCCTTCTTCAATCTCGTAAATCTGTGCCAGATCATATCCAAAAATTAAACCTTCGGATACATTTCCATGAGATTATTATGACGCAAAATATGTTACGTCATCCTTTTTGGAGTTCTTTCCATCCATATAATCCCCTGGGATGGGCTGTTGGCAAAGGTTCGACAAAAGTAACTACGTGATAAGCGGACAACGAGCAATGTTAACGTGGCGTGGCTATAAGAGGGACTTCTTTCGCGGGATTTCCAAACTACAGAGCACTTTCTGAGACAGAGTAACCATCAACCAGGGGGAAAGTGACAAAGGTGGGCCCCATTTGTTCTGGCAAGATTTTTTTCCCATGGGGAACAAAATCAGAAAGATCGCTTGGGAAATCATATATTTTAAGCAGCAGTGTGCGTTCCTGATAGCCACGTCTGTGCACATCAAAGGGAGGAAACCGTGCAATTTGAACAGCCAGACCTTTCGACAGCAAAAAAACACCCCCTTGCCTCAATTACTTGTCAATAGCAAGTGAATTTGTTTCAGTCAGTCGAAATGTAATGACACACCTAGTCCCTCTGGAATTCATGCTCTTTCTTGACAATGTTAAAGCAGTTTTGGAATTGCTAGTTTGCCACACAGAGCATCAAAGCGAGGTTGAGTTTCTCTAGCTGTGACATTTTCGTACAAAAAGAGTGTTAACAAGAAAGACGCGACAACCACGCTCTGTTGGTGCAATCATTGGTGTGCGTCCGCCCACGCTGTCGTAATTTGGACTAATGTGGCTCTAATTTTTCTCAAGTTCAGAAAACCCTTGGGAGATTTGCTACTACGCCCACTATGTCAAGAAGGTGGATGTCAAAGCAAGCAAGGATGTATATCCTTGTGTCAGGTCTCCGCAAAGACCACGATACAAAAAACTGTGAGAGCGCATAGAGTGTATTTTTACAAACGAGGACGCCCCACGATTATTGGAAGGCAATCAAGATGTCCTCGATTGGCAGCTGATGTCCTCGGGTGGCCATCATGTACAGACCAATTTACATGAAAAGGACGAGTTACAGGGAGCTACAGCATAAACAAATGCCACTCAAAGGACAAAGTGAAGAGATCCTTGCACATCAATTAACACACCTGTGCCCTAGAGGGGTGCTCTGTTCCAAAGCGTTTTAAGGACGACATCTGTCTTTGACTAAACCATCAGAAAGGTAAAGCCTATCATCATCATCTTTAGTGCCTCTTGTTTACCGAGCGCTACACGGAAATATAAATTACACTCGCATCATTGACCCCTAGCTGACCCGCAAGTCGAGACACTTCTCTCCCTCCGGCGGGCAAGACAGGCAGTGGACATTGAGCAGCTATCTGCTGCGGCAGAGTTTGTAGTTAAGGCGGGGGATCGGGACAGGCAAACTTGACGATAACACTCGTCAGAAAGAGGGTAATCCGGTACACCCCCCCCAAAATGATTGCACTGAAAGGCAACTATTGAAGTTAAGTATGGCACCTGTTTTTCGTTCTGTATGCAGATAATCTCGACGATTTACAAGAATATCCTGAAATGTGGCCACTGATCCGAAAGGAGATGGAGTTAATGTCTGTGCAATACGGGACAAAGAGAACCTCAGTTCGATTATATTAATTTTTTTCCTCCTGATTTCAGGTCACACCCAAGAAACCCACAGATGAGGGTTCATTACCACATTTAAAGCAACAAGAAGAGATCAGAACGCCACCTTGAGAACCAACAGCTCAATGAAATCACACATTTGGAAAGTTTGAAAATTTGTTTTCAGTATACCTATTTTGTTGTAACATCATTTGGGCGAAGTTGGGATAAAGTTCGTAGCTTAAAGAGTAGCGTAATTAATTCAGGCTTATGTGGCTACGTAAATGTATGTAAATTAACCATGAACACAATTCAGCTTGTAAAACTAAGTGAGCTTACTTGTTGGAATGCTGTGGCACTCCCGATGCTCGATGATCCAGAGTACAGTCCACAGAATGTACCAAAGACGTTTGGAGTCCATGACGACATGCGTAGTACTCCAATGACATCGCTGGATATCAAAACTTTAGTTTAGTCCGCCAAAAGAAAACTTAAAGCCCACAGAACATTCACCGTAAAAAGTGGCGTCTCGATTGCTAGGTTCAACAGATTTTCCAGCCATTCGAACTTTTGCTGTAAGTAACGCGCATGACACGCAACACGACACGACCAATGCTGGACTTGCCATCCGAATACCGTGTGATTTCAACTTAGCCTTGGGAAAAGGCATTAGTCAGAGATACAGTACCGAGGTCCCTTGCCCTCATGATATGAAAGCACGTTCCAGTTCACGGATGCGTCAGATCAGAGCACTGCGCTTGACTATGAGGCCTTTTTGGAAATCAGGGGACCTTCTTTATGCAACCATGGAAATAATTGGCTGCTGGGGATTTTTGTCGCTCAAGAAAGCCGCTGTGTTGTCCACTGCTGTGAGCCGGTAATTGTATGTTACAAACACGTAGGGAAAACCGTTCAATAAATGTCCCTGCATCGTGAGAAAAATGACAAAATCAAATCAACCATTTGATGTATAATGTTCGTGGGAATTCCATGGAAGTATTATCATGACAAAGCTCCTTAAGAAAGGCCGAAGGTCAAGATGTTCTGACCTGGACAGCGAGCCTGAGACTAAGTAAGGGTGTTTTTCTAATGCCACCATCACTGATTATTCCTTTGCACATGAGTTGAACGCATACGATCGCTGCGCACATGCGTGTTTTGAAAGCAGCAACGCACACTTCAGATATTCAGAACGTCGCAGACACGTTACAGGCCGAATGATGCAACTTGTTTGGAACGATTACGGTTTTCCATTGACAAAATAAGCTTTATTCCCATCACAAAACTCAGCGATAATAATTTGGAGCAACATTACAAACGGCAAGAGACAAAGACAAAATGGAAGGAAGTGAAGTTGAACATGAATAAAGTTAGCCGCGTTGTCTTTCAGCTAGCGATCTTTGTGAAGCCAGGACAACATTTTGTCAATCAATGTCTTTCCTGGACGGCATTTACCACCCCTAGGAAATGATTCATTCTTTAAAGTATGAAGTACGACTTTTTCAAGGGCATTTTATATCTTCAATATCTAATCTGAAAAAAAAGATTCAGGGACAAAAAAAACCCCAAAACCGGTGTAAGGATTGCCAGAGTGTAATGATTTTGACAAAAGCAATTCCGTGATCCACATTTTACTGATGTTTGTTTTTTATTCTAGTCTGAGTTTCGTTGGCAGCAAAACACAACGAATATCAACTCCAATTCCTGCCATTGTATTCCGTCTCCTTGGGAATAGTTCTCTCTCTTCGGGAAGGACAAGACAGGCAGCTTTTAGAATACCATAATATTTAAAATTCCATAATATTTGCATTAAACAAGCCAAGCTTTCACTACACTATTCAATGCTTTGAAATGGGAGCTTAGCAATGTTGACACAAAGGAGAAAACTTCAGGAAAAAACACTTACCGAGCATCATTTTATTTCCCGATATAATTAAAAGTGCAATGACTTGGGGTACTACCTTTAGCTATAGGTACATGTCTAATTACAACGCTTTGCTTATGACTCAAGGAAATCGTTTGTGAAAAAGATAAGTAGTGTCCTTTTCATTAAGTGGTTTTCATCGACATCCCTGCTTTAGGGTTTAGAGCACATACACAGAAGCTGCAGTTTTATGGCATAAAAAAGTCTGGAAATCTTGTGCCTTTTTGGACTTTATCTTAGGTCTCAAAGCGTTCAGCCTCTAAATACCATGTGGTCTTCATAACAGTCTTAGCTTCCTCAACGGATGAGTGTTTTAAATGAAGTAATCAACATCTTGATTCTCTCGGCAGGCTCGAAGAGAGACCCATCCATCCATGCTCGGAATCAAGCAGGCAAGACTTCGATTGTGTCCTTCATTCCTCGAGAATGGCAATTTGATACATTTACATTTTAATTCGAACGCGTCACGTTCAGCATGGTTACTACCCGGTTAGGTATCTAGGGCTATCCACTCCAAAATGTCTGTACCTCACAGAAAGAGGGCGTTCTTCTTATTCACAAGAACTGTAAAATGCGTGTAGTTCCGCAAAACTGGCAGAGCAAAGGCAGACGAAGATTAGTGTCGCCTGAAATCGTACTACGACACATGACTTTGCCTACATGTATCGTTGCACAGGCGGCCCACCGCGCGGCGGTCGCTGCTTCTCCTAATCAGGCCAGTGTCAATGCCTGTTGTATCTCTCATGAGTTAGGCCTGACGCCAGGGCTGTCTGTTAACAGAGCGATTAGGAATTTTAGTCAATAAAGCAGTGGCAAGTTCGAAAGTCTTTTTTCAAGGCTGACGGCAATGCCAGCAGCAGATGTCTGCACTTCAAGATCCTCTCGACTTGCTCCAAAGCTGAAAAAACAATCAGTGTCCGTGACACGTTTTGCCTCAGTAACTGTCTTTATCCGTGCTGTACTGAAAGGTTTGCCTGGAGAGCATGTCAGGGAGGATTTAGTCAGGTTGACACTGATGTAGGTAACAGGCCATTAAGATGTTCTGTCCGCCCACTAGTGCTCATTTATTATTTCGATAATAGTCAGCTGGGCATGAGTTCCGATTCGGTGAAAGCGTCCGAGGTGACGCTCTTCAGTCTCATCTGCCTCAGGCTGACTTGTCGACGGGTGCGGCTGGATATGCAGAGGAGCGTCTCCCGCATCTTGGAGCGGAAATTGTCCGAGAGGAAGGCGTAGAGGAAGGGGTTGATGGCGCTGTTGGAGAAATAGGCCAGGTAGGTGAAGGCGGTGACCAGGGCGCCCCCTTCCGACTGGTCACTAAAGATAGCAAACAGACTCCAGACGGAAATGAGCTGGAGCGGGAAGAGGCAAACCGCAAAGCAGACAACCATGACAACCAACAGGCGGATGACCTTCCGACGGGCGTGCATGACCGCCTCAGCGTTCCGCTTACGTTTGCTGGGCGTCTTCTTCATACACTGGCGGGAGAGAGCGTGGGGATTTGCTCGGCCATAGGCAGGTGAGGCTTGCCCGCTGGCAGCGGCAGGCTCATATTTCCTGTTGGCTGGCCTCTTGTCCCCCTCGGATTTGCTACCCAGGCGCGACTTGAAGCCACCGTAAGTCCTACCAGGATTAAGATACTGAGAATTTTCTTTGTCGGTGTCTGCAATTCCTCTGCCATCGCCGCTGGGGGCGCTCTGATTCCCTTCGTCTGTAATTTGGTGTGAGTTAAGCTCATTCTCCGATTTTGACATTGCCTGGTGGGATCCGATTCCGTTGGAATCGATGCCAGTCTTTTCGGTTTCGATCCCACGTGCCTCGTACCGCGTGCTGGCTGATTTGTCGCCACCTGAGCACAGCAGTATGTCGTTGCAGGACCTCCACAGAACCGCAGTATTATTCGATTCCACGGTTTCAGTCTGCTCGATGTCGGTCTCCTCCGGGTAATCTATGAAAAAGGGGCCGATTTTCTCCTGGACGTCGCCCCTATTGATCGGTCTGGACGGCTCGCTGCTGCAGTTACGGAGCAGTGTCTTCCGTGGTGTGTCGTCACTGTCACTATGAGCACTCGTGCTCTCCCCAGGGGGAGGGGAAATCTGACGACCAATGTGAATTCGCAGCCCCTCTCCTGGGGGCACGGGGCTTTTCTCTTCCACGCTCGAAACGGCTTTATTCCCTTTGTATGTCACTTTCATATACGTTTTTGACTTCTTGCCACTCGGGCCTGGCAGAGCAGACAAAGAGTTATCGCCCGTTCGGCTTGGTGTCCAAAGTCCCCAGCCAATTCTTGTGTATAGCACCAACATGATAACCAATGGCACCAAGTAGCAGACGAACAGCATGGCTATAAACTGGATTCTGGCGCCATTCTCTATGTATTCGGCGGTCGCCCCACAGTACATACCTTCCACGTAGCCTGGTAGCACGTCGTACGATATGCACATGGGTATACTGAGGACGATGCTTAACAACCACACGGCGACCACCACACCAATCAGCCGCTGAACGGTCAGAATCCGCTTGGTATGAAAGGGATGCAGTATGACGATGTAGCGCTCCATGGAGATGACCGTCAACATAAAGATAGAAGCCGTGGTCGTCACGGTGAGGGTTGCCTTGTGGGCCTTACAGATGAACACTCCCAACGACCAGTTCACCTGGATGAAGTAGAGCAGGGTGGGAATGATGCAGAAGAGCGTCACCAAGAGGTCGGACACAGCCAGGTTCAACAGGAAGAAGTTGGTAACAGTGTGCATACTGCGATTGCGCACGATGACGTAGACGACCAGCAGATTGCCAATCAGGCTTACAATAAAGACGGGCACAAAGGTCGCTATCAGGATGTCTTTGACCGGATGTTTGGAGTAATAGTCAACGTGTGACGCTGAGCTGTTACTGTCCATGTTGGCGCTCGTCAGCTCTGACAACAAATAAGAGAAAGTTATTGCATTGGACGACAAAGATCTCAACAAGGTAAACTCGCAAGGAAAATTGATTGCACTTCGGACGGTTTTTTACTTACTGTATTCACAACGGACTGAAATTCGACACCCTAACAACAATGCAGACAATAATTATTCTGAAATGCAAAATTTGACAGTTCTTGAAGCAAGCTCTTGAATTTCAATTCTTTTCATAAACCACTGGAACAGTGTAACGATGGGATAGCTCGATCTCCATATTAATGTATTATTTCATGTTTATATTAAATATAAAAAATGACGTAATATCCACGAGACGGTTAAGATTGAGAAAAATGCAATCAGATAAGGTATCAGCAAAAGAAAGGTGGGCTTTGCCTTTCCAAAAAAGGAGCCACAGGCCACACAATCACTAAGAAGAACAACTACTGATATTGAACAGTGTTCAAAATACCGAGAGAACTCGAATATTAGCAAAGTCCATTCTTTTGTCTGACCTCCGGAACCAATGTAAGTTAGCTGAGACTTGGGAAGGGGTAAGGTTTCGAGCTAGATAAACCGACATCCCTCGCTCGTGTTTAGTCTCGATTGCAGTCCATCTGCTCCCTACCAATTTGTGAAATCGCAAGGGTACATATTTATCCCTACGCTGCTCAAATTTGCCGTGGACTTGTCCAAATAGGCCAATTCTAATTCCGAATTGGCTCCGATAAAATCCTCAGCGAAATGAGATGTGGAAGAAAAGACTGGAGATGTTAACAATACGTGCTTTTTGGTTCGGTTTGATCCCAACATGACCTTTTTACCTCATATTTCTCGTGTTTGTAAAGTTTCTTTTTGTCACATCTTTAATATTCGGAGAATTCGGAAATATCTTAGTCGTCACGCCGTTCAGATATTAATTATGGTCTTGTAATGGGACGTATTGACTACTGCAACGGTCTTTATTATGCATTACCGCAAAACGCTGCTGCTAAGCTTATTAAAGGTAGTCCACGTTTCAGCTACACCAGTCCTGTTCTTTGTGATTTACATTGGTTACCAGTCAGATTATAGAATCGATTTTAAAATTCCGCTACTGTCTTTCAAAGCCGTTCACGGCCTCGCTCCAGTATATCTTTACGATCTAATTAAGATAAAGAAAAGGTCCAACTATGCTTTGAGATCTAACAACGAGTTACTTTTGGTTCCACCACATGCGACTAAAAAGAAACTTGGCGACAGATCATTCACTGCAGCAGCCCCTGCACTGTGGAGCCAATTGCCCAATGATATATGAGCTGAACAAGATTTTAATCGTTTTAAATCTTTAGTTAAAACGTTTTTATTTACGAGAGCATATTCGTAATCTTTTCATTTCAGTTTATAGATCTTATCTGTAATTTCTATATAATTAATTTTGTAAAGCGCATTTGATCTTAATTTTTAAGTTAATTTGCGCTATGTAAATTAATAATATTATTATTATTTGATTGTGGAGTGGTGAACCACAGAAAGGGCAATTAAAGTGGTGATTGTGCGATTTCGTCATTGATTGAGACTGGTGTGAATAACGTAAGTAAGATAAAATCCTTCAATGTATAAAAGGCTACCAAGGTTGCTGTCCTGTAGTACATAATTCTGCCAGCGACTTTTAAACTTCCCTAAAAAAGGATAAAGTTTGATTAGTAGTTCTGACGGCATCTGTAATATCCAGTTCTAAAGTCCTAATGACCGCTACGGGTATAATCTACTGAGAACCACCTGCACAAGAATTGCTTCTTCGAAAGCTTGTTTGGAGAACCGAGCCCATGGCATCTTGAATTGCCATAGTTTTGATTTTTTTATCCCCTCGACATTCCAGCTCTGCGGGTTTTAAATGTGAAAATGAGTCTATGAATGGCGTCTTCGGAACGCATAACAGAGGTGCAAATTGTATATTTCCATTATGTCTTGGGGAAAGCTTATGGGTAATTCCAGAAATTAGTTGTCAAAAAGTGTGAGATTTTGTGTCTCTGTTACATCTGACCTTTGGTATTTGACATGGGAATATTAGCGGAATTGATTTCAAACTATTAATACTTCTTTGGTAGGAAATTTGCATTAATTCATCACTCCTGGAAATTAGAAATGTGTTCTGAACTTACAATCTCATATGTCAGACCTGACACTGACACGAAAAAAATGTACCCCTAATTTCCGGAATTACCCTTATACAATCCTCTTTTTCTGCAAATGACTTACTGATCTCAAAATGATCAAGAGATACACAATTAACTAACAGTAGTTACTTGAAAAGGTTTTGCGTCTTTTTTCTCTGTATGTACATACAGTTAAGCGTGAAGACAGCCTATTGGCAGTGGTCTTAATTCTGAACTTATTGGCCGTCCTGTTTCTTAGCTTTTTGTCCTCTTTGAACGCTCCAAGTGCAGATTTGCTCGCTGTCTTGGTGGCTTGGCCGAAATTGGCACATCAGTGGCACATTCAATTTTGAAATTTCCGTCGCTGATCAGCGCAGACAACTGAGTCTAAATTTAACGCGAGCTCTCGTGGAGCAAATTCAATCTAACTGATCGGACGAAACGTTGCAAACTGTTACAACTCTTCTGGAAAATGAAAGCGCCCTCATAATTAGTTCTCGCAAATTATAACTGCGTGCACGCTGTCCATTCTACAAAGAAAATGGTTTCACAGGCATGCCATTCCTTGTGAATTTTCTCACTCTAAGTCATCATGAATAGACTTCACATTTAGCAGTTTCAAAAATCCACGAAAAGGCACCAAGTTTGGCATCAACCATAACCATAACGGCCGCGAAAGCCAATATTCAGAATTCTACTTGAGATCGGGAATTTAAAAATGTTCCTCTACAATTTTGGCTGCCTTGCGATGCTCCAGGGGTCGCCATAAGCGTCGATCGTTATCTACAGGCAGAAGGAGCCTGGAAGGATCGGCAGAAGCTAGAACACCTGAGGTGCTCTGTGTTAGAATGACGTTAAGATGAGAAGGGGACATGTTGTCGTCAGTCCTCCATCGATCGACGTACAAAAGTGACTGCTTTTCCCAATCTAAAATTACAGCGCCAGACAGGAAAAGTTAAAAATGCGAAAAACACTCTCTTTCCTTCACAAAAAAGCAATTTATCACCAAAGAATCGAGGATCAAACCAAATCAAACAATGATTCTGGGATTGTTGACTTTTTTCGCTAGTCACACACACTGACGATCAAAGCCTTCGATCTGTGTGAGCCGCCCTGGGACCGGCATATCAAACAAACTGCATTGATTAACACGTAACATGGTCTTTTCCCCGTTCGTGATTTAAACATGGACCGTTGGACTCCACGGCACTTACAGCGAAATGAAATTACAACAGATGTTGACTTTTCGTGAGTATGAATTTTTTGTCTAGAAAAGGCTTCAGCGAATTTTTTCAGGTTTGATATATATACAGACCGCCAAAGGTGTGGTTATGTGCTTTCGATGCTGTGTGTGCAGGTAACAATTTGCACCAAAAAAAAATCCAGTTATTGTGGACCATTTTATCAAACAGTCCACCTCAAACATTGAGACTGAATTGAGATTTCAGCGCAGGCGTTTTACAGGCCGTTTCCTATCTCTATCTGTCTTAGTTCTGAAAGGTGAGTTGAAAAGTCATATCTTTTTGACTTCAACTAATTCCTTCTCCAAACTGGATCAAGTAATAGCTCGATAAACAGTATAACCACCATTAAAAACATTTCAGTGTATAAAGACATCCACAGCCGGAAGGTGAGGCATCTTTTTTCGCCATGACAAAATCATGCACCCTTTGCCCGATACCGTTGACGGATCTGATGAATGGTCCAACCGAGAGGACAATTTCTGCAGCTCAGACTTCAAGGAGAACACCATCTGACGTACATTCAACAAACAACGGGTCGGTGTCAAGAGTGAGGCATTATATGGCCTTCTGCGGAGAAGATTAAATTTTGACACCAATGGCTGATCGAAGCCGCAGTTTGAAGAATGACACTGGTTTTGGCAGCGAGCCTTGAGTGTTCTATTCCCTTTACGCCCGTTCAATGTGCGTCAGTGGCAATGCGGACATGTAACATGGAAACGACATTTAAACTTGAAAAGATGCAGATGTTTGTTGGAACAACTATTTCCGAACGCATTATTCTCAATCGCTTTCTCCCTTCTCTGCTTCATAACATTTCCAAAGAAGCAAATTGAAAAAAAATCCCATATGCCGTTGATCCTTTCACAAATTTCTTAACTCTGATTTTACCCCGAAACTGCAAATGACGTCGCTCCCACGACGGCCATTAATAATAGCAGACTGTATTTATTCTGAAAACACCGACGTAAGAGATTCTCAACCCTCGGGGAAATCAGGAGACATCTCGGCTGGGCAAGGGTGGAAAAAACTAATCAGGAGTTTTGGAAACGAGGGGCCCAGAGGTGCAAGTGACTTGTGGGCATAGGCCCAATAATTGAACAGTTGGGTCAAAAGTTGTTCAAATGAAAACTCCAAAACTTTGTTGCCCTGACGTTTGAGTAGAGAGGCTGCGCATGCGCATGTCTCTGAAAAGGCCACTCGTTTGGCTTTGTCATGCAGCCTGGGGACAGAATCGTCAACGGTCCCTTTAGATTTTAACTGTGTTCTGACTGTGTTTACAGAAATTAATTGACCAACTAAGACAATTCAAAACGAAATGTCCAATTGCATTTCGGTAGATAATGAAACCATGTGTAGTGTTGGCAGAAGCAATTCAAAGCTGGCATGCAAATGAAAGTTTTTTCTGTTTTCTTCCATTGGATACTGGGTAAATTTCAAAAGCAAAATAAAACCGAACAGAAAACCGAATACAGAAAACAAAGAAAAACCGATCAGCCGGAAATTCAATTAAAGCTCTGCCCGGTGATATAGTGGGGAAAAGAAGAACTTAGTTGCTCTTAACAAGAGGCGCGAAAATGTCCTCTACAAATTAATGTAGCTAATAGCAATTGAGGACAGGAAAAGTCAGGATTTTGCCAACCATACAGTCTAAAGTTGATACCACGCAGGAAGGAACTTTCTGCGAACCTTATCATCTTTTAAAAGAGAACGGGTTATATAGTTGGAAGGAATTTAGGTGGCGCACACCTGCGATAGCTCAATAAGACGCTTCAAGCTGCCTTTTTGTGGAGAGAGTGCACCTACTTCAGCGCGCTAGTCTGATTTACTTTACAATAGCTAAGCCCAGTAGAGGATATCATAAACAGACGAACGGATGAGAGCACAGAAGTGACTTTAAAAAGGAGCTTTTCTTCAGTGTTTGTGGAAGTCTTTTTGGGAGAGAAAGATCCATGCGCAAACTCCACGCAACAAATTACGGCGTTGTGAACTAGGGTGCCGATGTGATTTCTGTAGAGTTCAAGGAGGAGGAATGGGTTATGAGAAGTTGAAGCGCCGGGTGTGTGGCGTTAGAAAAGGTGTTTATTGAAACAGAAAAATGAACACATAACATACGTCTAACTGGTTGGTTTTCATTACTTCAGATGTTCAATCCAAACGAATTTCAACATACCTTCTCTGTTTATTTCGATGTCTATTTTCACTCGACAACTCGTCCAGTTCTTTACTAATTATAATCGTTTATCCACACTCCAGCCCAATTTTCCCCTAGTAGCCGGATGGATCTGGTCTTGTGCAAGCGACCTCCACAGCCTCCTCAATGATCGGGTGTAAAAGGGCTCCCTCGTTACAGAGATGCTTGCACGGCAACACGCCCAGCGGAGGAGAAGAGCATCCTTATTGACGCAGGTCCACTCGTTGAATGACGAGTCGCACACCTCTAGTCCGTCCCTGCCTGCTGCACAAACAAGGCGTGTGTGGACACGCGATATACGTGGGGTTCCTCGCTTGGTTACGCTCATGCACGTAGAATCTATAGCGTGCCAATGGCAGATGACGATATTACCTGACGAACGGTTCTGCCTGGAAAACATAAGGCGGGAAAAAATCCAAGATGTTGAAGAAGCACGGATGCGTGAAACGACAACTTAAGAGGACGGGCAGGGTTGGTGAGGAGAGACGGACAGCGGGCGAGGGAGATGGATATAGGATGAAGGAGGCATGTTTACAGCGATCTGTATTGATCTAGGTCATCGATTGCTGGGGCATTTACAAGACCCGAAACAAGCCGATAGTCCAGGGTACCTGCCCCGGAGCGCGGAAACCGAGCAAGTGCCGCTAAATTGCCTTTCATTGCAAGCTGTGTGCAGTACGGCGCTGCGTGTAAGCCCCTAACCCCCCCCGGCCTTTTTTTACTAGCCTGGTTACGTCAACAAGAAACGAAGAAAGACAAAGAAGGATTCAGAGCAGAGATTCACTAGAAATAATAAAAAGGGTAGGTTAGGGCCTCTAACAGTAGCGATTGTTCTCCAGAATTGGTTGCATGTCTCCTTTTCACTTTTTCTTTCATGTACTACTGTTTTGCTGTCGCGCGAGACTGGTTCGTCTAGTTAACTAAATCAACAGCTCCAACGTAGTGCTCAGCGCTCTAGATGAGTTTGTAACTCAGTGTGTACGATAGATAACTCTGTTGACCCTATCGAATGTAATAAATGATATGGAGCCCATCAATTCAAGTGAATTGGGACAAGAAGAATGCTTAGCGACAGATACAACCCGTGAGGAGGTAGCGGCAAAGTGCAGGCGTCTCGACCTGCCGAGAAATTCACACTTTTCTGCACCAAAAGGTTACCACAACAGGACGGGGTGTACCGCAGCGGAAGCGTAGCGCTGAAAGCATGGGGGAAATGACAACACAATTTCACCATACCTAACAAGTTCGCAATGTGTGAAAGATGGGAGAGCAGACCAAACGGCTGACATAATGGTGTCGCATATTTCATGCCAGGTAATGGTTTCCGCTTCTGCTCGACAGACGAAATCCTATGTTGGTGTTAGCACATGGAATAACACGGATCCATCCTTGGCCAAGGGCAGTGGTGGGTAGGTGTCCCTGCAGCTCTCTTCAGACTGACAGAAAATGCTGAGAAGGTCCAACATATAACATCAAGACCCTGATCACGGTTCTGCCTCGCGGCGGCTTTATTATGCTTATGTCTGATGCTCAAGCCGCACATGCGCAATCCTACAAAAATCAAATCTGTCCCGGAATCAAACTCGGAATGGCCTAGCTGTTGTGCGTGTCATTGTACTGTCGCATCTGTAAATGTCACCTTCCAAAGCGTAAAATCCAAGGATTTGTATACCTCTATTAAGCTTGGATAGGAGACAGCCATTAACGTCTTTGAATAAGAGCTCAAATCAATACCAATTTAGCAAGGACAGGCGATGTGCGAATGCTCGTCAAGGGGTTTCATTTTAGGGTGGCAGGCAGCCAATCGATAGAAATCAATAAATTGTAAAAAAGCGCAAAAACGAATTGCGTGCGCTTCAATGAGCGAATTTGCCTCTTAAGGCGTATAGTTCAAACACGTCACCCAGGCTGTCTGAAACGAACCGTGGAATATCCAAGGCTACAACGGGTACTGTAAGCTCACATTCTGATCACTGTTACTTTTTTGCTTGACAACAGAGACATCTAACTACCCTCGACAGGGACTACACAAGGACATCACAAAGCAGCAATTAGGGTGCATCTGCCACGCGGAAGAGTTCTTACAGAGATGTCTTTTATTGAAATACTGTGCTAAATGAAGCTTGTCGGATGAAGAGTGGTCGTCCCGGCTCCCGGGAAATAAATTCAACACAGCTTGGGATGTTTTCCTTGGAGACTAGATTTTTACGGGGACAAAGCAGGGCAATTTAGACCAGTGAAGCATTCATGCTTACTCTTCACCTAATAGGAAAACATTAATTTCTCAATAGGGAGTACTGGCTGTATTTCCAAACAGACGACAAGTTGTAAGTTAAAAATTAAACTGAATTTCAGCAGCTTGAAAGTTAAACAAAATAAAAAATGGCGTATCAAGCATTTACGAAGGAGGGGGTGGAGTCGAACACTTGGGGGAGGATACCACAGTGGAGGTAAACCAAATACACCTGCGGGGCAAATTCTTCCTTTTCTGGAAGTATATTTCTGGATTTAAAAAGAATAAAGAATATGTAAAACACCTTAAAGACGAAACAGAAAAACGGTTTTCGGAAAAAAAGAGAGGGGTCTAGTTCCCTTGTAGATCCGCATTCAAGTTTTTAAAAGTGAAGAATTTACAAGCATATTTAAGTGTAGGTCTAGACGACATGATAAAATAAAAAGCAAATAAAAATGAAAAAAAAAAGAAGAGATGATTATTACGACTTTACGATTCGGACTGAATCGTTTTATGTACAGTGCAAGATGAATTTAATCAAATTTCATTAATTGATGCCAGACGGATACAATTTCCTACAAGGATATTCCTGCAGAGTATTTTTTGCCAGCTTTTCGAGCAGACAAACAAATTGATTTATCGCAACAGGAAATAACTAACTTTCCTCGCAGCGACCAGGCATTAAGCGTTACGCAGATGTAAAGTCGGCTTTTCAAGAACCTATCCGATACAGGAAGCCCTTTTGTAAGAACCCATCGGGGACCGGGATAGAGCCGCAGTCCTGTCAAGGTGATTAATCTGTCCGGGCAGTGAAAATGAGAAATGACAACCTTTTCCGCTTACGTGTCAAAAAGTTGAATGGGCGACTCTGAGAGAGGATCCGTATACTAGGGGAATTCAGCGGGCACAGACAATCATCCGACGGGGCAAGAAGAGACACCAGGCCCGGGCAGTGCTATGGAACAATCAGGAGTCTACACCGCGTCATCGAGACAGTCATTGGGCAAAATAAGATGGATTTAGTGTAATAAGACCTTCCCGACGGCAAAAGCGAACCACTTAGACGCACAACTCTGATCTACGATTTCATAATAATTGATGCTGGAGAACTCTCCAGACAGATCGCACTTGACTGGGGAGAGGCTTGGAACGATGACAGGCTTGCATCATCGTTTAGTCGTTTCAACATTGAAACCTTTGCGGGGGTAGGTCTTGCACCTTGGTTGGGACATCGGCTGTGCTTATGTTTTTCATTGCCCCCTCTTCTGCCCCCCGTCTATAAGAGGATATTTGTGAATGCCTAACTCTGACCGTCTGAAAAACCCATGTGCAACATGATGTTGGCCGATGTTTCAGTTTGAAAACGTCGTTCGTAAACTTGAAACCTGTTGCAGGTATATTTGCATAACTTCCGCCAATCATCGTTCATGTGATATGAAAAGTGCATACCTTACCATTATTTCCATAGTCTGTTGCCATCCCAGATCAAACAAAATATCCTACACTTTCCTGTGCAGGCTTTCTTCTGGTGGTGGTTCGTGTCGCAGAGTGAACTACTGGAAGGTCTTGAAACAAGCTAGACTACCGCGTGGGGGAAGAAAACTCATTAAAATAGGAGACAATAAGACAATCCAATATGAATCAACGGGGTGAGAGATTGATTAAAGGGACGTGCGTGAGAACTACCACAGTCCAGAATCACATTCCTCCAAACGCAGGCTTCTCAAAAGACGCATATATTATGCGATGCTTCCCCAATGAACTTCTGGTAACTTGTAGTGTACTTTTGCGTGAAGGTGAAGTGTTTTTTAACAGAATCACGACGACAACCTTCAGAAAGAATTTCATCTCTGGTAGAATGCAACGAAAATCCAAACACTGACTCATTCAAAAACTGAAACCGAATCATTTAAGGAATTGCCTATTCATGTTCACGTACTAATGGACGAGTTAAGTGAAATAAAAACACAAAAAGGAGGTCGTTGGAAAGAAAACTTGACAATGAGAAAGTGAACAAGATCAGAAAATTAGAAATGCCATCATTGGTATACTTGGTTCGAAGAAATGAATATAGCCCCCTCTATAGGCAAAACGTGCCCAAAGCACTTAACTATTCATTTTGCTCGCTAATGTTGGATGTTGAATTCACAACAGACCACGACGTATACACTATCTCACGCCTTGATTTATTCAATCGGCAATTGAAACGTTGAAGTCCACGTAAACGAACCGTCCAGAAAAACATCTGGCCCTTTCTTGAAAGTTAGAACTGCTGTTTGTCTTTTTCCACATTATTCGGTGGTGTAAAATTTGGTGTTACATTTTGTCGTTAACGTAAAATTTAGTGCCGATTGTTTTCATCGTTGCTTACAAATTAGAAAAATGACCGCTCTGCAATACAAGAAATGTACGACTTACTCAAGGCAAAGCAAGGCTACATTCTAGGAATTCGTTTGATCGATGGGGCTTTTAAAGCGACTTCCTTGAAGCTGTCGGGGGATGTTAGAGGGAATGAAGACCGGCCATGGGGAGATTCACCAGGAATACATTTATTTCATCATGAAGGGATGTTCCGCTAATGGTGGGCGTGATGTATCTTCGTTTCGGCTACTGTTGCAGAGTGCTCTGGCTAATGACAGATTCTTTTACTATGTGATTTCCCACCGGAATCGGAGGGGTAATTGCTTGACATCGTCGGTATTCGGCGGCGTACTAAACAGTGGTATCCTCAAATTTATTTATGATAAAATAATGTTCATGTTTGACATAGACAGCCAAGTCGACATTTGAGTCAAAGTATTCTAATCAAATGCATGCAGCTGAAAGCTGTAATAAGCCATTTGCGAGAAAAGTTGAACAAAATCTGGTACATCGATGTATCTTATTGCATATAAACATAACAATCTGAATTTCCCAGACTGAATTTTGTACTGTTGCTATACTTCAAGATTCGGGGCAAGCTTTCTCATAGCGACCACGATCTCTGCAATGGACTCATTCCTTCTTATGCACTGAAAACACTGTATTGATGCAAGGCGTCCGAAAAGCTCGTCCCAAATCACGAGGTATACATGGAGATGGATCCCAATACGACACTTTTAGCGTCAATTTGCGCACTTCCGCATTTGAAAAAGAGGCTGTATGTGCCAGCTTCAA